CTTTGGAAACCCCACCCAGGAGTGCTGTGGTGGTGAAATCCACCCACGTAAGTGTTGATGTTATGATAATGTTGTATTGGTGTTGTGATTTTCTTATTATAATAATAATAATAATGGTAGGTACTTCATAGCTGATGACCCCTTGGCCCTAACCTCAATTAATATTCAAACTACAACATACAGTCCTTAATTTAAACAAATCTTCCCCTCTTGAAACATAAAACTGCCCTGAAGGTGTCACTGTTCACCAGGTATACAACAGATTACTGTGCGGTGTCTTCAAACCATAAAACTGTAAATCAATCATTGTAAGAAAATGTAGAATGATTTATACCGTATTATCTTACAATTAGAAAAAAAATTGTAACATGAGGATTCATTTTATAACTTATAATTTATGTGATTGCAAAATGTTACAATTTTAATAGTCGTGAATTTGCTTCCTGGCTTTAAACATTCTTGACATTTTTAAATGTTTATAATACAGTTCGCTTTGTTTTACAAAGTGCATAAAATTCAAATATTTCCTTAATAATAAAAATCCATCTGTATTTCCAATCTCACGTTTTACAGTGTAATGCAGCAAGTCAGTGACTTCATCTTTGCCAACAGGTGCCAATAGCAGTTATCTTTTTGAATGAGATCAGGGATGGCAGTCAGCCTATCAGTTTGTTTTTTTTAATGCCACAAACTTACGGTTAGTTCAAGTTCAGGTTTCATTTACTGGGTCTCCTAGAGAAGACTGAAAGTGGAGCTGAATGAGGGGGGGGGGGAAATCACATTGTTCTTCCAGAATAACTGATAAAAAAAACATTGTTGTTCTGATTTTATCAGCACAACCTTGTCTTTTTTTAAAGGTTTATTTTGGGGCTTTTTATGCCTTTATTTAGAGATAGGGCAGTGGGTAGAGTCTGATATCAGGGACAGAGAGAGAGATTCTGGAATGACAGACGGGACAGGACGGATTCAAACCTGTGCCGTCTGCTTTGAGAACTATGTGTTGTACATGCACATGCGTGCACTAACCACTATCCTACCAGCACAAGCAATCAACCTTTTCATCTGAAACCTTTTTCTCATAGTTCATGGCAGAACCACCCACAGGTCCCTCACTTGAACTGGAAAGAACACATGCACCTTTTGATTTCATTCCATACACCAGCACCCTTGGAATTTGTTTGTTCTGCAATATGCTTACGTGACTTGGTGTGTGTGTGTGTGTGTGTGTGTGTGTGTATGTGTGTGTATGTGTGTGTGTGTGTGTGTGTGTGTGTGTGTGTGTGTGTGTGTGTGTGTGTGTGTGCGTGTGTGTGCGTGTGTGTGTGGGAGGTTGGGTGAAAGAATTATGTATATGTTTTTGGGTGCTGGTTGAGCTCATTTGGGCGGTCGATCGGTTACATCATGTACAAAAGCAAAACAGTCCCTGTTGCCACAGCCATAACTTCAACTTCAAGTCTCGGCCCTTTGAAAGATGTCTGCCAAATGCTCTCTTCCCCACCTTTCCTGTCTCAGATCACATATCATACAATATATTTTAGGAGTGGTGATGTCTTCAACCTATAATTCCTGTTACCTGTTGCATAATTCACAGCATGCAGACCATAAGTTTCTTTGTTGACATTCTCAAAAGTGATATATCCTTCACGATCAATCAATCAATCTTTATTTGTATAGCGATCAAAAGGAATACAAATTCTGATTAAAATCCATTAAAAATGAATATTCAAACAATCAAGGGAAAAGAACGTAAGTAGAAGAAGAAGAAAAAGATTTTAAAAAACATAAATTGTTGGCAAATAAAAAATGACATGCATGTGACAGTATACTGTACATGATAGGTGGGGGAAATGGGTGAACTTACCCTTTAGGAAAGTAAAGAAGCTGCAAACAAAATTCTAATATTACCATTCTTGTTTTGAGCGCAGCCTGACGCCTGCTGTGTGTTTCTTTATATTTTTGCTTTGTCATGAAGATTTTAAATTACAGTTTGTCATTTTAAACTACTTCCTCCTCTTCCATGTGTCTTGATCATGAGTCAGCAATAGCCAGGTAAAGGCAAACCTTTATCTTTTCAAAAACACACACAAGGGCACGTTTTATGACTGATGGGAGAAGATTAAGTTCCTTTTATGAGGACGCGTAAACTGTGTGTGCAGATTTGGGGAAAAATACTCTTCAATATTCCTTGCTTTGTCACGTATTATCAGTCTTCTGCTTAAAGATAAAAAAAGACATTTTAGTTTCCTGCTTCCTGTAAAAACAATTTACTGTTGTGTAAATGTATAGGTGCGTAATTTAAGAGGAAATGATTTTCTTCTTCCGGTTTAGATGTGACTCAACATGTTTTTAATGTCATGTCATCATGGGCAAGCATTTTGATAACAGTGACGAGGAAGAACTCCATTGTAACAGACAATATAAACCTTAATTGTAACTAGACGCTGGTTGGATAGCCATCTGCTTGATTATTTACATAAAGAATTTAGTAAGAAAGACAGAGAACAGTCATGCTTACTGTGCATTCACAACTAATCTAACAAGGAAACTTGTTCCAGTACACCCGCACCAAAGGACTGACCCCTATTTTTATTTTTTACACTAACAAGTTCCTCATGTGTGACTGTCTGCTTCCAGGCAGGATTGCGTACTTGTGCATGCATGGAAGGCCTCTAGGTAAGTATCTGCACAGAGAGTTCTCTGTTTTCCTTTTCTGTTTCAGTGCCCTGTTTGAGCAACATCATTTGCCTACGTACACCAAGCGGAACTCATTCCCACATAGAGGAAGATGTGCACATCACATCAGAATGGCGGGGGAATAGTTTGTAAGCTGGAAAGGGAGTAACATAAGCTCTTTTGTCTGGAGCTGAAACTATCTTTCATTGCATGCAACCAGGATGTAAAATTGCTTTCCTGTCAGTCCTTTGCATGCAGCAGGACTTCAGAGAAAAAGGGTTTCTGAATCTGTTCTCTTAATATAAGGTGCTACAGTGGAAAAGGCCAGAGGTATACTGTAGAGTACACAGTATGGCAATGTGTCAGAGGTTCTGGTCAGTCATATTTTTACGTTTCCAGTTATCATATTATGCCATGTTTCAACTGATTTGTTTTCAAAGATTACAATTCTAAAATAAACAGGTTTCAACATTGTTTGCAGTGCTAACTAAGAAAGGGTAAACCATTACTGCGCTACAAATTGAAGTCTGTCATGTGTAAAGTTGAAAGCTTTAGCAATAACATTTTAGAACCAGCCAGAGGTCTCTCTCATCTGCTCTGCCCAGTTGAACTAGTTTGAACCCATCTCCCTAGCCTTAATTAAAGAAACTGCTTTGAACATGACATCTACAACCTGCCCTCATGACATAGTTCATATTCATCTCCTTAGGGAGGCCTTGGACTTCATTGGCCCCAGTATTCTTTCAATTGTTAAAGGCTCCTTGGCTTTTGGCACAGTCCCATCCTGAATTAAACATGGAGTGGTGCAACCTCTGTAAAATATTTCAAAAACCTGGACCCTCTACCACTTGGTAATTACAGACACATTTCAATACTTCCTTTCCATTCTGAATCACTAGAAAAGGTTGTTCTGCACAAACTTTTGCCTTGTCGTCATCAAAATAAAATACTAGATGCATTTCAGTTAGGTTTTAGGGTAACTCACAGTACTGAGTATGCTTTACTTTAAAAGTCCATAACCAAGTTATACCACTCTAGTTGATCGCCTCCAGACGCTGTTGGTGTTAGAGATACCGCCTTGAATTGGTTCACCTCCAATTTAAACATCTGAGCTTTCACAGTGAACATCGGCAATTCCACTCCTAATCTATCCTGCAGGGTCCCTCAAGGCTCCATCCTAGGCCCCTTTCTTTTCTCTATTTGCATGCTCCCGCTTCATGGAAAATCACATTTCTTACCTATGTTATGCAGATGATGCTCAGCTCTATCCACCTTAGACAGTGCCTATAAGATGTCAAATGCTGGATGGCCCAAAATGGTCTTACAACTGAACTAGGGTCAAACCGAAGTGGTTCTTTTTGGCCCCCCTGAAGCCATAAAATGGACCTCAAGCACCTTAGGTCATCTTTCCTCACTCATCAAGCCACATGCTAAGAACCTCAAAGTAGTATTTGATTCCAACTTCACATTTGAACATCAGGTAAATCAGTAGAGAAAACAAGTTTATTTTGGCTACGAACCATCTGAAAACTAAAACCCATCCTCCCTTTACATGAGTTAGAAATGGTAATCCACTCTTACATCTCTTCCCGCCATCAAGTATTGTAACTCACTGTACACCAGGATCAGCCGGTCATCCCTGTCATGACTGTAACTGATACAAAATGCTGCAGCCAGGCTTCTAAGTGGCGTATGTAAGAGAGATCATAACAGCCCAGTTCTAGCTTCTAGTCACTGGCTTGTAATACGTTACAGGAATGATTTTAAGGTTACTCGTTTCTAAACACCAAAAAGCTTGGCCTGCTCTTACATAGCAGGCCTCCTCAGCTTTAACACAACCTGCAGACACCTTAGATCTTTAGAGCTGGGTCTCCTGGCTGACTCTTATTCTAATCAGAAACTAAGAGGCGACTGGGCTTTAGCAATAAAGGACCCTCAGTCCCTCAGTCAGGCCTCCCACCTCTGTCAAATCTTTTCAGTCTATGTCGGCTGTTGAGTCCTAATAACAGTAGATTGCTTGTATTTCGTATCAAATGAAATATTATTCTCTCTTTATTTTTCAATTGTTATTATTTTACTGTGAGTAATTTGTGTGTGTCTGTGTGCATGTGTGTGTGGGTACACATGTATGTGTGAGATTTCTGTGTGGTTGTTTTTTCTCCTTTTCTGTAACTATGCTGTACTGCTCTTTTGATCCATGCACAGCACTTTGGTCAGTCGTTGCTGTTTTTAAATATGCTTTATACATCAATGTGATTGCTTGATTGAATGATTTGTGTTAATGACAAAAAACAAAATGTTGAAAAGAAAACAACAGCAGATTTTAATCCATGTTTTGCAGATTTTATTGAAAATATCATTCAATTGTTTGTGGAGTTAAATGTTTAGCTGCTTAAAAATGAATGTTGTAACTAAATAAGAAAACACACATTAAGTTTGACCTAAGCATACGGAGGCCCTGAGAGGACGTGCATCCTATACATTTGTATTCACTCCGTTTTCCTGTGATAACGTACATTTTGGTTGTTTTCGTGTGATAATAAGTTAATTTCAGTCTTGGGGGTGGGGGGTGGGGGTAGATCTCAAGAAATTGACTCGTTATCATGGGAAAACCATTGTTGTTATTGTGAAACGAGATAAATAAGTTGACATCTCAAGAAAACAACCAAAATGTTCTCTTTATCGCAGGACTTCCACACAGGCAGACACAGTGCAACACAAAATACATAAATAGCCATACCTATAAAAAAAAAACATACAATCCAGCACATATACAATCAAAATATAAAACATTTAAATTGTTTGTACCAATATTAAACACAGAACTATTTTGTTTTTTGTAACATCTTTACTGTTCTAAACTTCCAATAATGCTTTTGACTGGGGTTCTTTTCTTTGGTCAGTGAGCGATTAAGTTGGCCTTCTCTGTGTTCCCACATGGAGGCGAATCAAGGATAGGACCATGTATTTGTAATGCAGTGACCACACATTCGTGAGCAGGAGCTGATCAAAACAATAGAATATGTTCAGGCTTCATGTTTTTAAAAATTCATGACGTCAACCAAAGACAAAGATTGTGATAATCTCACCTGTTTGCTTTTCAGAGGGACAGCCTGCACTTCTTTCTTGTTTCCTCTTCTGATACACTAAAATAAAATACACAGGAATTAGATAAGGATTTGCACTCCCCCGACAAAACAACCACCATTGTTGATTCAATGGTTCAGTGACTCGGACAGAAAAATATTCAAACTTGATGCATATTTTTCTTTATTCACCTCACAAATTATCTCTCATGATTCAAATGCTGCATGTAAAGTTAGTTATGGTCAACAGGTTGCTGACTTCCCCTTCTCTTTCCTGACATTGTTTCCAATAATTCAGGAAGTAGACTGAATAAAAAGCAATGTTACATTAAATAAAAGGACAGATTTGTCAGGGTTTAAACATGTGTAATCAAGTCAGCACACACATCAATAAAATCCACAAACTAAAAAGTAATTTCTCTAACATCTTAATGCAAATATGTTGCATACTGTGTACTTTCATAACATTCAATGAGATGCCAAGGAGGGAGAAAATCAAACATACACAGTAGCATTTTACCAAGTGAACACAATTAATCGTGTTTTGTTCCCTAAAGCAAAGTCTGTGGCTCCTTAGCCTTAACAAAGAGTGTGTGAACAGGGCTCAGAAACGTCAGCCTGTGTTTGTCTGAAGGATGGAAACTGGAACCGAGCCTATTCGATTTACAATACAAGTGCTTATTCAACTGTGCGTCAACAAAGGAACCAAAGTTGCAGTCAGAGCATGACAGGGTGAGTTTTCTACCTACCGGTTAAAAGTACGTGGAGTATCAGAGTGACAATTATGATGCCAGAGAGACACATGCCGACAGGTACAATTACCCAGGTCAAGTCCTCAGAGGCTTTGTAACAAAAGAAAAACATGTAGAGTGACTAAACTTGATAACAGTACAGGTGTCATTATCTGGTTTTTATGCACATTTTGTCCCACGTGAATACATTTGCTTTCAATTCTAAGCATGCCTTTTACAAATTCGATTAATTACGATTACCAATTGAAATATAGTGATTCATCACAATTAAAAATGTCATCGTTTGACAGTCCTACTTATCTTTGCCACACCAGCTCCTATAAATCTTTTTCTTTTTCTTTTGCAGACTCTTACTTTGAAAAACACAACTCTGAAACCTGTAGCCTGAGTAGTCCAAAAAAAAGTGTTTTGTGATATGTTTATGTCATACAAATACTGTTAGACATGGAAGAAAATAACCTGAGCATGGAGCGAAGAGTGGAAACAGGGGGAAAAACAGCTTTTGTAAGTATTGCAAATCTAAATTATCATGCGAATTATTAGGTTTTATGGTGCTTGTATACTGTTTGTTTAGGTCTGTTGAAGTGGTATTTTTATAAAAGTGTGTCTGAAGGTTTTAGAAACTTTGCTCTGCAGTTAGCGAGATAATACACCCAGTACTCAGTTCTCAGGAATGCTCTAAATAAACTGGAGGCCAAACAAATATGTTAAGAGCAATGCATCAAAGGGATTGTCTTTCTCAGGAGCCTGTGTGTTTCCAAAAAATCCCCAAAAAGACTTCATCCAAAAGGCGTCATCCAACATTGCACACCAAGTTAAAGCGCAGTAAACAGATGCTGGTGCAGAAGATCCTTTTATTTTTTCAAAATGATGCCAAGAAACCACTTAGGGCAAACATCAGAGGCACTTACGCTTGCTGTTACCCTTTTAGAAATGAGATGGCCGTAAACATGTAGTTTGTTAAGGCTATAAACATTTAAAAAAATAAAGTAAAGGAAGCTTTTTTCCATTTCAAAACAATGAGGCACCTCAGGTTGTGTAGAGTAAGGGGGATAAGACGGGAATGAGCTTGGATTAGACCACACAGGATGGGACTAAATAGGAGAAGGAGGAATTCATCTCTTGTTAAAGGAGTTTAGTAGTCCAGTAATCCTACTTACTGTAGTCCTCAAAACAGTGAGTAACTGTGGCAGCAAACTTTGTGTCCAACCTCTTGACCTATCGAAATACAAAACATGTATTCAAAGTCGTGAAAGAACCTGCAGTGGATGTAAAAAGTCCTGTTTACTTCACCAACATACCTGTAGACAAGTGTTGTGTAATTCTCCTGTCAGGTTCAAGTCAACAGCCTTAAGTTTTTCCTGTGAAAGACACAAAAGAAACAAAACCCCTTACAAGTGTAACCATGCTGGTGTTTTGGAACTTACATTGTCTCTTTAATGTGATTTCAGCCATTACTCAGAAGCAATTCAGCGGCGACATGATTGATTAATGAAGGATAATAGCTTTCCGTCTGAGCAGAAACAAACCTAACCTAACTGAGCTACTTCCTGCAACAATGCACGTAAACATGTTGACAGACTTTGAGTGTGGCAGATGTCATTGGTAGTCAACATTACCTCAAGTTGTGTAATTACCTTCAATCGCCTTTGTGTGACAAATTATGGTTTGAAGCTACAACACCTTAGAACAAACTTGTTGTCTACTGGTAACAACCAGGAAATATAGAAAAAGAATACACAGAAGCTGATGTACCAAATGACAAGAATGTTTTGACAGTTCCCTCATTACGTAACTGAAGATGCACTAGAGGTCATTCAAAGGCTTATTAGAATGAAAATGTATGCAATGATGTATTGAAGATTTAATGTGTATTTTCAAATACGGTGTTACACAGAGCTGTCAAGAAACACCAAAAAAAGAAATATATGGGATCTGCATTGCCTCCATTCCCCCCTTATTTCCCATTGTGTGATACTTACCACATGCACCGTGTGTGTTTTGTTGATGTTGCACTCAGTAGAGCCTTCCCATTTGACACACAGCCCGATGGAAAAGTTTGCAGTGATCCGTGAAGACATCTTCACGTCTACATGACCCCGATGCCTCGTCACAGTGAACTCCAATGCTGGAAATTATTGCACAGCTATCAGTGAAATGACGGACACTCATGCACCACAGAAGATAATGAAGGTTATTATCTTTATAATATGATATGAATGTGGCTCTTCAATAACTATCATGTGGATTAATTGTCATGGATTACCAGGGCTGTGCTATAATCGGATGATATGATACCTTATTTTACAAAAAAGTGTTACCTTGGAATCTTGCATCAGCAAATGGACACCTTGTCCAGGACTGAGAGGCTGTAGTGAACTGAAAGAGATAAGACATTTTTCATTCTCTTCATGCAAGTGTTAGAAAAACCACATTTTTTACCACATTTAAAGGAGCAGCATGTAAGTCTGACATGTAGTGTTTAAAAAGGGGTACTGCAGTCCAAATTCAGCGAGCTGTCTTCACCCCCAACAGGGCCGGCCCGTTGCATAGGCAGTATAGGCAAATGCTAGGGGTGCCAGCATTTGATCAATGACAGTAACGTCAGTGTTTCCTATCTCGAGTTAACATCAGTTATTTCCACTGTACTTTTTTTAGGTTAGAATTATTCATGTTACACTTCTACTTTTGTATAGTAGGCTACGTTGTTTGGGACACAAAACCTACTTTTATATTTATTGACATCTCTGTACTTAGCTTTCACCCTCGTCGATTAAAATGTTTATTTTCCTCCTCCTGTTGTCATTAATAGTTTTAAGCTCTTGCCTTTAGAGTATTGATGTCTAAGAGCATAAATGCATTTTGTGAAAGAAGTCCACACTGAATAGATATGTGTGCATGCTGTAGGTCTGGTTAAAGTCTCTGTGAATAGATATGAGTGCATGCTGTAGATCTGGTTAAAGTCCTCTGTGAATAGATATGAGTGCATGCTGTAGGTCTGGTTAAAGTCCTCTGTGAATAGATATGAGTGCATGCTGTAGGTCTGGTTAAAGTCCTCTGTGAATAGATATGAGTGCATGCTGTAGGTCTGGTTAAAGTCCTCTGTGAATAGATATGAGTGCATGCTGTAGGTCTGGTTAAAGTCCTCTGTGAATAGATATGAGTGCATGCTGTAGGTCTGGTTAAAGTCCTCTGTGAATAGATATGAGTGCATGCTGTAGGTCTGGTTAAAGTCATCACTGAATAGATATGAGTGCATGCTGTAGGTCTGGTTAAAGTCATCACTGAATAGATATGTGTGCATGCTGTAGGTCTGGTTGAAGTCTCTGTGAATAGATATGTGTGCATGCTGTAGGTCTGGTTGAAGTTCTCTGTGAATAGATATGTGTGCATGCTGTAGGTCTGGTTGAAGTTCTCTGTGAATAGATATGTGTGCATGCTGTAGGTCTGGTTGAAAGGAAAACTATTGAGTTGAGTTTTCTGTACTGCTCAGAAGAGAAAATCATATTTAAATAAAACAATATATTATAAAATGCAGATTGTTTCACAAATGCTCATCTTCTCTCTCTAGATGCAATCAGAAACATTTAAATCCATCCCCTGCTGTCCCTGGGTCGCCTGTGACCACTTCTGCTCCCTAAACTGTTTGGTATTGTTTATTCTGTTAGACTAGTTATTTGTATTTGTATTTTATTTTGTATTTACGTATAAAAAAATGTTTGTCTATAAGTATTTTTTATTTTTTTAACAAAGACATTCTGTTCAATATAGAGGATTATAGGAAATATAGAGGAGGAAAAGAGGATGAATATTGTCTTTGGTGGTCAAACTGTCTGCAATATAAGGGGCAACTGCTAAAATCTTGCCTCGGGCACCAAAATGGCGAGGGCCGGCTCTGACCCCCAACCCCTCCTTCCTAGTGTCGCTGGGCACTCGGGTTGCCGTGACACGGAAGCTTCAGTGTTTAGCCAGCTCTGCGTCAGTCTTATAATCAGACAATCATGTCGACCAGCAAAATGTTAAAACCCTGCTGTAAACTAGTACAGATAATGATATACAGTACAGAACACAGAGTATATAATACTAACAGGACTTCTGCTTTGTGGCTACGTTACCAGAGAACTCTCACTTTTAAAATTAGCTGGAACAGGAGACGTTAGACACAGCTTCCCTTTCTTTACTGTAATTACGACAAGCGTACTGATGGCCTGCTAGGTATCCTTTTCTAGAAATAAAGTGGCTCAGTGGAAATCCTTCACCTAGCATCATCCCCAAACAGAGGCAGGTCATTCTTTTCATCCAAATACTTTTTCTAAAAACCCAAGAGCTTGATTATTACCTTCATGCACAGTTGAGGATGTGGATCCACTTTAGTAAATGTAACCTGGAAAAGAAAATATGATATAGTTATTAGAAAAATAACTTTATCCATACACAGAATGGTGTGCAACTATTAAAAGTCATATTTGTTATGAAGTATTTAATAAAAATAGTCTATCCAAACAATATCCACTCTTCTGTTTTGCTTCAAACTGGATTCTTTTTTCTTTCTTTCAGCTGGTGTAGCTTTAAGATGGGAGATTCTCTCTGCGTCACTTGCTTTACTTACCAGAGGGAATTCCCTCATTAAGGGACATCAGCTCAGGTTAATCCAGCAAATATCTCTGATTAAATCTGATCAGAGTTCAGGCTAAGAATAGCCAGGTGTGCCGACTCTGTCTTCTTTTCTTGTAACTATTCTGCTTGGTAAGACGTACAAGAGCCTGACCACATATAACAATGTTCTATAAAAAGATTTGTGTGAACACTCTCTTTACAGGCTATCGTCTGTATCGCATTTCTGGAGTGCCTACAGTAGAATGTGTGCTATCTCGGGCGTTCTAAGTAAACATTCACACCCATTCAAAGTGACGTTGTAAGCAATGTCAACACATTTGCAGTTTCAGCGTGAGAGACTTTTACCTTTGCTCTGCTCACATTCTGTGAGGCATGAGGCAGATCAACGCAGACACCATCCTCTCTTCTCTGACACAACCCGACCGAAGCAGTGACTGGACAGGCGGGCTCCCATGAGAGCGTCTCCTCCAGTGGGTCAAAGTTTATTCCAAACAATAGCTCCTCGACACCTGCAGTCAGGAGATGTCACAACATTTTCAATGCTATGTTCTCACTCTGGAAGAATCACATTTCACAATCAGTTTACTATGGAATTTGTTTGGGATACTTAAAGTGACTCACGGTCTTTGAAAGGGCAGACTTGGACCCTAGGGGCATCAGTCACTGCTGACCATCCCTGTAACAAATGAATTAATTCAAGTACAATTCCTTTTTGAATGTGATAGCCTACGTAAACAGATCTTTAAAAAGCACTAGGTTTATTGTCAGTACTTTACCTCTATGCAGAGACAGGGCAAAGGCCGCAAGTATGGGAAGGTAATGCTCTTCACAGGTTCCTCCTTCTTTATCTGGAAGTTAAACAACGCTTTATGAGTTTATGAATCATCGTGTGCCAAGGTTTTCTTTGTATAAGGTTTTCTTTGTGATTTAAATTATTATAAATTGAGCAATCCTGTTAGTTAATGGTGAACAGGCTTGAGCTTGTATCATGCTTTTCTGGTCTTCTTACTACTCAAAGTGCTTATTACACACAGGTCACACCCATAGATTCACACACAGATGGCAGAGGCTGCTATGTAAAGTGTCCATCAGTATTGACTTATCATATTTATCAGCGGGGCAAGCAATTTGGGGTTATATGTCATGCCCAAGCACACATCGACATGTGGATGCAGGAGCAGGGGATTGAACCTCTGACCTCACAGTTGAGAGACGACAGACTCCAACACTAAGCCACAGTACAGTACACAGACTGTACTTCAATGGAATGGAGAATACTTCTTTTGTGGCATTTGCTTTGTGCTCTTAAAAATTCAAACGGGGAACCTCTCCCGGGGGAACCTAGGTCCCTCTTGCTTTTAGGCAACACAATAGTTCCCACAGCCCTTGTACCCTTGTTTCAAGATTTTTTTTTCCCCTCAACAGTTACACAAAAGCCCTTCCTGTTTGAAGTGCCAGTTTCCTTGCACTCATCTGTTCCAACTCAATGCAAAACCCTGTAGGGCCTTGAGAAAGCCTTCCGGTAATGTCCAGATTGCAGAATGAATGGAGACTAACCAGTGCATATGCCCCCGTGCCGACGCAGATGAAATCCTTAAGGCACAGACGGAGGTGGTAGTTGTGGTCTTCCAGCATGTCTGACACACTAACACTCAGCTCCTTCCTTTGCGGCTTTATGTCGTATGAAAGCCTCCCAGCTGAAAGAGACGGAGGACAATGTGAGTGTGAAATTCTCAAACATCCTTCCGACGTGAGCATTGGGACCCACTGAGGGGTTTGCTTGATTATCCCATTTTTTTAATCAAATCATTTTGACTGCTTTGGCCTCAGAAATGTACTCAAACATTTATAGAGGGAAAACCGACTGCTTGATTGAATTAGCCGTACCAACAAAAGGGTCAAAAGGTCAACTATCAAGCTATAACAGTGTACGCTGAACATGCCAATGCATTGCCCAGTTTGGTGATTAAAAAAAAAAAAAATGTACTTACTGATGCATTCTGGGACATGCCTTTTCAAATCCGCACTTTTACAATCTGTAAAGAAATATAAGCAACAAAGTAATTAAGTGTAAATTGTAAAAGCAATATAAAAAAGGATAACTGTTACATAACCCCTGTGTGAGTATCTTCTACTTGTTTTTCTCTTACACGGAAATACTTAGAGCCTTCACACCACCATTTACTGAGTTTAATTATTGACTATGTTACATATTAAAACTCCATTCATCACCTGTTGGTCATGGTTCCACTAGTGTGTGTTTGCATAATAAGGAGCACGTGCTCTTACCTGGAGCTATGTAGGTTCCCGTCCAGCTCATGCCACAGTAGACCTCCAGGGTTTTCACTGTTACTTTCACATGTTGGCTGGGCAAAATTTCCGTGCAATCATTCTCAACTTCCACCTTGAGGAGGGCAAATAAAAACACACAAACTGTTACAGTACATGTCTGTTAGGCTTCAGCAGTTTAATTTATGGTGTTTGTTGGACAGGTTTAGATTTTATACATAAATATAACAAAGCAGTATCTTGACAAAGTAAGTTAATGTGTAAACATGAACTTTGAACTAGTGGAGGGGCCTTGAGCCGAAGATCAGCCAGTACCCTTCACAGGTGCTTTGTACGGGCAGGGGAACAAGCTCCCACTCCCACTCAGCAACGTGATGGAGGAGTTTATGGTCACCCATGCAAGAGAGGAGCTGCAGTACAGGGTGTACAGGAACGCCCGTGGGTGAGGGTGTCTGATGTTTCAAAACCCGAAAACACCATGTGACCCCGGGATACAGATACTGATCATGTGTCTGAGTGCATCGTAAGATGTATGTTGAAAACTATCTTGTCAGCTGAGCTTTTTTAAGTGAAATGATGAGACATTCTACGGCACAGCGGGAGTTGTTATTTCACATAACTGTGACAATACGGAGGCGCTTTACGCTAAGCCTAATAGGATAAAATAGCATGCGATTAAATCAATTAAAAAAAGATGCATTAATTCCCGCCATTAATCGCGATTAACCAGTTAATGCTGACAGCCCTAAAATAAAACCGATAAAAAAATATGTAAACAGAGTGTCAGATATCCCAATGATGCCATTGCTTTTAACAGTACCTGAAGTCCAGACATTCCATGGCTTTTGACTTTTGACCATGGCTTGAGGATTTGGCAGTTGCTCATTATCCCTTCTGTGGCAATGCAGATGGACAAACCAAGGAAGGACTCTTTGGGAGATAAACATATTAAAATCAGAGGACAGTCTAAAAGGATGGTCAGACAGCACTAGGTACACAGCAGCTATCAAACACACTAAACCTCTTTTACCATTAAACAAACAAAAATGACAAAGCATGAGTAAGCATTCGATTAATGTCATGCAGGAAAAAGAATATGCATCAGACAGATGCGTGGACAGATAACTCATTGAGGATCAGAGGGATTTCCTCTCTCTAGCTCGGACAGTGAATAATGTCTATTGTGCTTATTTCCGTGTGCTGCGACCATAACCACTGATCATGCATTCTATGTGCTGATTGGGAACAAAAAAACACAGAGTAATATATTTATTATGCACAAGCAGAAGTTGAATCATGGAAAGTGTCTGGTTTCATAAATGACACTTCCTTCCTAAATACGTCATAAGTGTCATGAACGCGTTGGCCTAACAACATCCAAATACAGCAGTCAAAACTGAAACTTCCCCATTGAGCTGAGTCACATCATCTGTGGATGTGAAGGTCAGTTATGGAGAATTGCCACTATATCATTGCTGTACCTGTGACGAGCATTCATGGTGGAAAAACTTACTACACAACAACAGTTGTTGGGCCACACAAAAGTGGCCATTAAAAAAAAGAAAACAATAGCTTGACAGAAGCAAAGTTCTAGAGAGCAAAGATGAACTGGAAAAAAATGCCTTGAGAATAATTAAACGGAAATTGTTCATGTTTTATTCATTTTCCTTAACTGTGCACCACATTAAAAATTACCTGCTTCATTTACTCTACACATTAAAACGCTGGATTTCTTTATTTAAAACTGAAAAACGAGAGTTACACGGTTCTATGAATTCTGGATGACCCCAGTACTTCTCTGTAACTCGAGATCTTGGCAAGAAGATTCTGTAGTGACGTCTCGTGGGCTATTTAAGCTACGTCATGCTTCATCTCAGGTTGCATATGACTTTGTTGATATTAAATACTCGACCTGCACGTGCACAAGACTGATTTTATCCACTGCCTCTGGCGGTCAGGAAGAATGAAATAGAACTTAAGCAGCATTTTTCAAATAAAATCTGACTGCGAATATCGTTTTCAAATACACTTACCAGAAAGTTGTAAAGCAGTGTTGACTCTAAGGTGTAGGGAGCACTTCTGCCTCCCTTCACATCTCATGACTGTGGAGAGGCTGACGTTGTGGAAGATGGAGGAGGTGTTGAGACCATCAGGAGGGTTCTGACATGGAGGACGAAAGAAATCTAAACAGGAAAGGTCCAGAACAACAAATCACTTTCACGGTCAGATCCATTTAAAAGTAAACCAGTCAAAGAACCAAAATAAAGAAATTACTTGTTTTTTTCTTCCCCAAAACATTAGCTTACATACCGTAAGTTGTTGGTGCTACTAGCATACTTGCACATAAAGTGCAAAATATCAGCAACCAGTATTTTGCAATTACACATCTAACAGCTATTTTTTCTGTTTTATTTCCGTGTGAAGACAATTAAATCTGCATTTGAACATAGTTAATTGTAAAAAAATTAAGATTTCTTTTGCACTTTTTGAGTGAGACGAGCTGCTTCTAACGTTAGCTGAGCTTGCAGTTCCTCGTCTTGTTTCAAGGTTAGCGCCTCCTATAAACTAGATAATAAATTCACAGCAATAATACTTACATTCATTTTAATGCACTGGTTTGGCACTGTGGCCTATTTAAGCCTAGATATTATAATCTGTATCAGGAAGGATCAAATCTGGTAACCTCCCTAGTTTGATTACCAAATGAGTACAATTCGATTCGATGTCAACGCACCTGTCAGAGATGCTTTTTAAAGCACTGTTGGATCAATGTATTTCTCCTTTATTTTCATTGCATGTCAGGAAGTTATGTTTTCAAAGGTTTCTCATGTGATGGGTGGAGAAATTGATTAATGTGTTTCAATGAAAGGAATTATTTGTTTGTCAAGTGATGCTCTTTATGTGGTTTTCTTTGTCAAACCCTGCACAAATTGAAAATCTGAGCATTGTCTTTGGCAACAAAACAGTAAAATACCGGTATGCAAACATTTTACATCTTTGCAGTATCAGTGCAGTTGGGATGTAGCAACCAGCACATGTACTTACAATCTGGCTTGGTTTTGCAGCGGAGGCCCTGCAAAGAGAGAAGAAAAAAAGATGCAGTCACGTTAAACATAACAGGGTGTTACTCTTTTCTGTGACTCTTTTGGAGAAGCTCCAATAATAAAGTAATTCTTAACAAAGAGAACAAAGGTAGAAGGGATTTCCCAGATAGCAGTGAGCTTTTTACATCCTCATTGCTCCTGCAGGACAACTAAGCCTATTAGTAATTATGTCTCGGGTTGTTGTGGTCCAATGACAAGCTACAAACAATAATGCATTTCATTTCATTTCAAAAAGACAATAATTAAATGTAGCCACAAATGAGTCATGTTATTCTGTTTCCATTGGAAACTTACAGGAAGGTTCTAAACTAAATTTGCACTGGTAAATACTGAACAGGAACACATGCAATACTTTTTTAACATGCACATCCTTGTTGATGAATCAGTCAGGAAATATAGGATATATGTGAACAGTGTTAAATGCTTTTGCTGCATCTAGTGATGATTAACAGTATAGTCTAGACTCTAGAACATGTCACTCATCATGAAATGCTTCAGGGTTTTCCTAACTATGGCAAACATTGACGGTCATTCTGTGCTTAAACTTATGTCTCCAGGCTACATTGTTCCAAGCTATCCATGATTTTGACAAAAGAACAAATAGTATCAAACATTCTGCAACAGTATATGACATCGTTCTTAATACCTCATAGGTAATAAGGATGTTTTGAAAGCCAACACCCCTCCCATTCCAGAATCAACACACACAAATCTGGAGGAACATTTCTGTATTGCTGGAGTGCTGTTAACACACTGGCATACAAGAACAGGAAGAAATGTGTCTTTATTGTGTACTACTGGAAGAGTGGAGAAGACAAGATACAGAGTTTACTGCTCAAAGACAAATAACACTTATAGAGCAATTATCAGCCATCTCCATCAAACATGACATGTAGCTTATTTTGGTTTATTTAGGTGTGAGGACATAGTGACCCCAAAAAAAGTTGAAAATCATTCTAATATGCTTGTAAATGCAAGTCATTCTTTGAATGATTAGCCTTTACAGAAATGTTTATAAAGTGAGTCAACAGGTGAGACACCCAGTGTCAGGAATTAGCCTTACCATTCATTAAACCGGTTGACTCATGCTTTGGACCACATCCTAGGAAATCCTTACTCTGGTCAGGGTTTACCTCTAAAGCCCTGTCGCCTTAAACTGGTTAAGTATTAGTAGTATTAGCATCTGAAGCTTTACAGGTGGAAGCAGTCGTAGTAGTAGTGCTGGCAAAGTATTATGATGGACATGGATGTCATTTTTTTCTTTTGTTTGAAACAATGCAATAAGTGAACAGTCGTGTTAATTGTAAAAAGAAAAATACCCAATGGTGTATTTTGATGTTAGCAGCTTCTACAGCAGGAAATAGTAAGATGTTATAAAAAGGACAGGGCTATATTTAAGAGTGCGATTTTGAATATTTCTTATTTCTCATTTCTTCTCTTGAGGGTGCAGTTTTTACCTGAGAACATCTGGTGCGACATTTTTCTATCCTCTCAAGTCCTGCAGCTCCACTCAGATCCAAACAGCAGTAAGAAATTACCAAGGCCACCCATGAGATCATTTTAGTTATCCAGCACTGGGCTTCTTTTAGTGATCCTGTATTCAGTTTCTTCTCTTGCTTCCTATTCCTCTTCTCTTCTTCTTCTTCTTCTTCTTCTTCTTCTTCTTCTTCTTTTTCTTCTTTTTCTTCTGCTGCTGCTGGGGTCAGATGAGACTCTGCAAAAGGATGGGTTACCAGCTGGATGAAGAGGCGTCTCCTGAGTTTTCAGTGTCCTGTTATTCAATGTGGTGTGTGGTGGGGCAGAGCTAAGCACACAGAGTGAAACACAAGCAGCTGGAAAGAGTGGATTTAAATATGTTGTGGAGGCGGGGTTATGGATTATGAATATAGTTGTAACTGGTTGTTACTGTATGTAAAAAATAGTTTCATTATTATTTTTCACACAAGTCAGATAGCACATCCTCTTTCCTTCCCTGTGTTATTTTTTTTTATATAAATGCCACTTTTGACACATTTGAAAATTTTCTATTTGTCTGCAACAACATACACACACAAACACTACCAGCAGTGTGAGACCATATCAAAATTCCTTGGACGACAGCAAAATTTCACAACATCTCATAGGAATACAAAATTCCTATTGAAAATCAAACTGATATACACATAATGTTCCTTATATTGAGTTCACAACAGCCCCAGGGCAAGGAAGTTCCACTGCTTGCAAAAACAGTGGAACTGATGAACTCAGAAATTCAGGAAGTGTGTTTTGGTCTGAAATGTTCACAAGCAGATCAGGTTACCCAGCATTTGTCTGATATCGCTACAAACCAGGAATATTTAACCAGGGTCATCGGTTAGTCATGATTGACTGAATTGGGCTTGACATTTAACTCCCAAATGATGGCACACAGAAAACTTCCTCTTCTGCAACAGCATGCCCTTACATGGACAACTACTGTCAGGTTGAGAGTAGCTGGTACGGCTATCTCAAGGTTAAAAAAAAAGAAGAGGTGTTATATAGGCACTACTTTTTCTTAATAAACTTAAATGTATGTGTTAATTGCAGGTCCAAAAACCAAAACAATATCCTGAAAGAAACTATTGAAATAGAGCTGAACCAGAATTGCTGCATCTGTGATATTCCCTGATGGTTCATCATTACAAAACACCTTCCGTGTCACCCAGTCATTTGACTGTATATATGCGTGTGTGTGTGTGTGTGTGTGTGTGTGTGTGTGTGTGTGTGTGTGTGTGTGTGTGTGTGTGTGTGTATAGCTGCTTTAAAGTACTCATTTAAATTAGGGAGATCTTTCTTACGGATACCGATATTAGAGAGATAAATAATTCTGAGACCAATATATATCAGCCGATATCTTTCTTAAATCAATCTTGGATCTTAAGGGATCCATTGGTTTAGATGTACACCCACATTTATTGGGTTAAGCCTCACACGCTGTTTTCAAACACAAGATTTATAATTAAGACAAGGTTTTTTTTTTTTTTAAGTTTGACAAAAGGCTTTATTGGTCGGGATCACAACAGTGCACTGAAGCCCTAATTGTTACTTAGCAATTAACAATTATCATAAAAACCATATGGAAATAAATTATAAACTGAAATTGAATAAAGCTAGTCATATCGGCATATATCCAAGATAAAAGTAGTGATATGCTAATATCACCCAGTTTATTAATCAGTCGGGCCCTAATTCAAATCATGTAAAACAAAAAAAAAATAACGTAACAGCTCTTGTCAGCGCTCTTTATGTTAGAATTCTTGGAACTTTCCACTTTAACTGAGTGACACTGAGCACTAAAGAACATCAGGAATTATTTATTCTCACAGCATTTCTGACAAAGTAGTCATTTACTACGTCTTACAGCAACAGTTCTTGTTCTTGTAGCACGCCTTGTATATCCTGGAGAAGAGTGTTCTGTTACAGCGTGGAGTCATCATCAGCAAAACTTTAAAAATAATTTCCCTCATCCTGGGAATAAGACAGGGAAGACACAACTTCCAAGCACTTCCTTTACAAACTCAGGTTATCTGATTGTCTTGATGAAAGTTAAATACAGGCCAAACAAATCGGAGTCAACACAGGCACTGTAGAGAGAAGGAAATACTGAAAGTCTAAGAGGTACAATGACCCTATATGACCATTTCAAGAGAAACAGATTCACATATGTATTACTGTCAGGTATAGCACTTCTCCTAAATGATGGGGTATTACATCAGAGTGGAAATCATAGAAGGGTTGGGACATTATGGAGGCTCAATAAAGTGAAAACAAAACTGATTCTTAAAGGTCATAGCCTTATGTACACAATTGCACGTGTTTACATTAAAAACAACTACATCTTCAGCATTTTTCCTTTAAAAAAAAATAATAATTTGAATAGTTATTGTGACCCAGTTCTAGGTGTGCCTGTTTATAGAAGAGTAGTTATTACCCAGCTCTGATCAAAGGAAAACACACATAGACAAACACTCTCACACATATCTGGCTTAAATCAACACAGGCACATAAATTGTGTCTTAAATGAAGAAACAATCGACAATGAACTGATTTATAGCACTTAGAAAGCTAGTTGTGAATTTTTCCTTATCTGAAAATGTTGAAAGAGGGTTAAATCAATATTTATTTGACCTGGTGCGAATGAATGAAGGAGCTATTGACACAGGAATTTATTCATGTAACTTGTTCGTCTACTATATGTCACAAGAGAGCTATTCTATGATTATAACACAATGATACAACAGTGTCAGGTAGGCCTACCTAGCTAGCCTTTTGTTGCTGTTTGCATTGGATACACATGTTCCCCTGCTTTTGTGTAAGGGCTCTATCTGCTGGGATACAGTGTGTATTACAGTACAGGTATTTTACACCCCACAGTCATTTCTCTTCTCAGGTGAGTGGATTCTCTGTATAGCCTACAATAACCCTGTGACAATTAGTCATTGACACATTATTATAATTAACCATCATTAATCTTTGTCACTTCTCAATGTTATGTTGTTTCTGTATAAAGGCTAGATTTTGGATGAATAGCAGCTCTTTCAGATAGAACACCAGAAGGGTCATCTGACAATGAAACTTGACAAATTAAGCTATTCTTAGGAGAATTGTGGATGTTATTTTAGAAATGTCTTTTTAAAAAGCAACACAATCATTTCCATCAAGTCATATAACTTGGAATTTTTGCACATAGATGTGCCTTAACATGCACAGGACACTTGGAAAACACACTAAAGAGCATATAAAACCAGAAAAAGCATAATATGACCCCTTTAAGGCTAAATTTTGAAAAGGGCAAAAAACTTGCATCAAAATAGTAAGGCATACCCAAAGGCCAAAGTTAATAATTCCGGATGCCATTCTTTCAACGAAACAGACTGACTAGATTTGACTACATCAGTTTCCAAATGTATTTAAAGTTCACATATAATACTCCTTTTCAACCAGTTTAAATTAGTCCCAGACCTCCCCAAAACGTGTAGGAAGTTTCTCACCACAAATCCACTCCCATCATGTATCATGCATGTTTATAACCGCTCAATTTAGCCGTGCTCAGAATAGGCTTTTCTTGTTTCTGTAGCTTTAAATGTAAGTGAGCTGTGTATGACCACGCCCCTCTCTGGAAAGGCTTGTTTGGCTTACGCTTCCTTGCACCATACCGAATTGCTTACAGTGAGAAGTCAGACTCAGAGGACAGAAAAATCCTCAAGCTGTTGGAGTGTCACCCACATAGGGGAGGGGTTACTGCCCTTTGTGATGTCACAAAGGGAACATTTCCAAACAGCCTGTGTGAGCACACATTTTCTGGAAAGTGGAGCAGGCAAAAGATGGAGAGGAGGGACTATCCTCATAATTGGGGGGGGTTTGTAGACAGACTCGAGACACATATCAGTGTTATTACATGGTAAAGCGTATTTTGCATAATATACCTTTACGCTTGGTTTGTAGCTACACACCTGTGTTTGCAGCGTCCTCAACTTTTGTTGTTTTTTATGGAAACACCCCTTAACATTTTCCTCATTATAATCATGGATGTAATATTCCTGTTATGTTAGTAAAATCATTATGAGGCACTTTAAAAAAAAAATCCCATATACATTAGCATGAAAAAACTAATGAATCACTGTAAACTTCTTGCTTTAGATGTTTTATTGTTGTTTAATAGTTTCATATAATGCAGTGGTAGACTACTTACCGTTAACCTGCTGTCAGCTGTAAGCTGCTCATGCTGTAGCTGCACAGTAAGAGCAGTGATCAAGCTTTGCTCATCCTGTGCTGCAAAAAATATCACTATGACAGTCATACAGCCGTAAGAGCCTTGACACCGTATTATATCCAAGAAAATACATTTATTTCATTAAACATGTTTAACTTGATTGCATTTTAGTGGTGAAAAAGGTCTAAATATCTTAAAGTGATGACGCATTGATCATCATGTTTCAACCTTGAATAGTTAGATTAAAGTATTGCCATATTATAATATCTCACTTTGACATAAATTGTAAGTCACTTTATGCTCTAAATATAGAAATAGCGTAAGTAATGAAAATTGGTACCATGCATGCCATTAGGCTGCCATTTTTTGCAGTGTGCAGCCCATGGTTGCGTCACATGACCAGATAATCTTCTGTGTATTTCCGCGTTCACGACGGCCGAGCTGTGAATCAATGACTCTCCATGGAGCTGTGCAAAGTTTAGCAAAAGCATCTCTGCTGGTTTCATCTTCCTCCCCTCCGGCTGCGCCTGTTGTCTTCATCCTCAATGAATGAAGCTGTAACTATCTGAGGCTCTCCTCCTCCTCCTCCTCCTCCTCCTCCTCCGCCTCTTTTCTCCATCGAGCCTGTCTTCGACCAGCGCGGCCGACCTGGGGGGGAATCCGGGGAAAGGGAGCCGCGGCGCTGCACACCGGCCGACGGACAACCCGCCGCGACGCGCCAACAACATGCTCACCCGGGTCAAGTCCGCCGTGGCCGGGTTCATGGGCGGAATCATGACCGGGGGCAGCTCCGGCGGAGGGGGCAACAATGGTTCCGAGCTGCCCTTAAAATTCCCATATATGAGACCGCAGTTCCTTGGACTGTCCCCGGATGAGATCGAGTGCTCCGCGGACCACATAGCCCGGCCCATCCTCATCTTGAAGGAAACCAGGAGATTACCGTGGGCCACCGGATACGCGGAGTAAGTAACCTGACCTCAGCTGTTTGTCAAAGCGGCTCTTTGTTGTGTTGCAGATTTCATCCCAGTGGCACTTAATTGCACATCCTTTGTGGTCAGCCTTTTGAGGCCTGAATGCAGGTGTTCATAACAAAACAGTTTGCTCCTCCTTATTATTGAAATAAAACACGCACAAAGGTCTCAGAGCAATGAAAAGCATCGACTCAGAAGTGAACCTTGCACCTGTTGTGACCCAGACTCCATCCACCCCAGACAGCATCCTCTTGCACTGCCACTCTCAAACCTTTTATCTGTTTAAATCGCGTGCTGTTAGACGTGGATGACAGCATTCATCCAAAAGGATCACAGCACTCAAGATCACAAGCTGCCATTCACGTGCAAGAGGATGATGCAGGCTAACTTCTACCAGCAGCATCTGTGTCCGGCTATTAGTCTGCAACTGTGCTGTTTGTGACGAGCAGTGTTGCCAGTGTGTGATTGCATGTTAAAAGCTGTGAAGTGGCAAACAAGCAGGAAGATGCAACCCTCACATTGTGGCTCAACTCAAGACCGCTGCGGTGTCTAAAAAGGTACATGAGTGTGTTGCTTGCTTGTCTTTGCTGCCTTTTCCAGCATCTACATGGGACATGGATTACCATCTGAGCTCTTATAAAAGTGTCTCATTTGCAGTTTTGCACGTGCACACACACACACACACACACACACACACCCATTAGATCTGCTGTGAATGTTCAAAGACACCCAGGATGCTGAGAATCATGCTGATTCCACTGTCCAATGTTAACTCTTCTGAAAAAAAAATGCAGAACTGCGGTAGATTTAATCATCACATTTCTGGTTGTACTTCAAATCTCTCTTGATGAGAATGCTAATTATTAGGAAAATGTTCATGAAGTGCAAAGCGAAATGAAAGTGTGACACCAAAATACATGGCTGCGGTAATGTATTTAGCTTTATTTTATTTATTTATTTGTAGGTAATGTGAACCTTGAATAACTGTTAAATAATCTCAGATTGAGGCGTAGTCGCTCAAGTTACTTCCACAGTATAAACGCAAATCTCATTTAATATTGACGCCACACACTATAGACAGCGTTTGACAGAAATAAGATACCTCTGCCACACTACAGTCTGATTGAATTTATGCCATGGTCATCCAAGTGGATGAAAGATGATGTTTGGAAGCATATTTAATACATAAATATAATCTAAAGTAATTCTGTGATTTAAAACAGCATGACTGTTTAATTACTTTACTCTCCCAGGTATTTAATTTAAGAAAAATCGACAATTATTCATGTTTTTCTTAAAGCCAATTCTTTTTATTTTAACATATGCTTGCACAAGAGTCAGTGCTTTGTTTCACTTGTATGTGAGTTTACGTAGTATTTGATCACATCATGGCGATATCTGCACAGCACACTTTCTGTGTCGATCAATCTTTCTGCAGATCCAACAATTCATATACCGCTAATTTAATTTGAGAGGGAAGTAAATATTAGAGCCTGACCTTTATATCTGTCAGCAGATTAAATGACGATATCACTGTTTTTGATTTGTATCCATGGTAACAGTTTACCAATGAATCCATAAAGCGATCCATATCAATAAATAGTCAGTTAACGATTTAAAAACAGGTGCATTATGGGACGCAGATTGCTTAGTGGTTAGGTCGCGCCCCATGTACAGAGGCTATAGTCCTCAAGCGGGCAACCCGGGTTCAAGTCCGACCTGTGGCTGCTTTCACACATGTCATTCCCACTCTGTCTCCTGATTTTCTACTTAATCCACTGTCCTATCAATAAAGCAAAAAGCTGGAAAAATAAATCTTACACGTCGTACCACATAGACCACCTGATACAGGGACAAAAACAAAAGTCTTCCCTAGAAGTGTAACGGTTCAAGATGTTAAATGTGACAAACACATGCACGAGTAAACGCCTGTCACAAAAGGGCCAGAAGTTAGTTTTATATTCTCACATCTTTTTTAGCAGTATTTTACATAGTAATCATGTGTCTTTCATGCTCTTTCCAACACAGCTACCCAAAGACATTACATCACAGATAAAAAAAAACCTTAACTAAAGCTTTTCCCCCTCTCACACAGAAAAATGATAAGACGTAATTCAGAGCAGCTTGGTGCTTTTGTGTTGAAGTGAGAGAGAAAAAAAAAAGTCTGAAGAATAAGCAGCTTAAAAAAAGTATCACTTGATCAAATTATTCCTCACTGTATCCGTTTCCGGCCTTTTATCACACAATTCTATTTTAAGATGACACTCTGGAGTTGTGGAAGTTTTTGTGTGTAGTGTGTGCGGTTAGTATTTTACAATAAGATTCATATAACCTTGAATAACGAACAAATGCAGAGCCAATTCCTTATGAAGTAGATAAATATAAGATTAGTATGCCAGTGTAGATTATAATTAGAGTACATTGTCAGGATGTTTTCTGTGTGTCTACATCCCTTTGAGGCTACATCAACACTGAATCATTCATATATTTTTGCAACCTTGTAAAGAAAAGCAGTGCATCAGTGCAAATGCATAATTACTTTATTAGGAACATATTAGTAGAATTCATTTCTTGACCCAATAATTAAGCAAAACCTTCCTTTCTCTCTCTCTCTCTCTACTTCGACTCACCGATGATACTCAGAACAGGCATGAAGTGTCTCTCTGGGACCGGTGTGGATAATGAGTTCATTTCGTGTCAGCTTTTAATCTGTAATTAAAGACTCCCGAGTTGTCATTACAGCCGTCGTTTCGGCTTTTGTCTTTTTTTTTTTCTACCTCTGTGGAATAAAGGTTAATCCAAGACAATCCGAAGTAACTCAGTCGAATCTTTTGTTTTAGTGCTAATAATCAACTGCTAGCACAACTACAGCTACTGTAACAACAACTGCATTATGGGAGTAAAGTTTTGAAAAAAAAAAATCAACAACACAAGAGCAAACGTGTCAAGAAAGGTTCAAGTTTGAGTGTGTTTGTTGGCTCTAATGTAAACTGCAAATGTTAGCATAGCCAACCAATTTACAACCTAGCAGTAACTAAATGTTACTAACAAGGCATGCCAGTAGTTTAAAAAGCTTTGGTTGCAAAAGCACATCGACTATGAGGCCTACTTTCTGCAAGTTGGCCTTAGTGCTAACAAATGTGCTGCGTAAAGCTAGCTGCTAGGTCCTTCCCTTTTATTGAGCTAGTTCACTTCAGCAACCCCAACCAAACCCTGTTACCTAGGATGGTATTAGGTTTGTTTGAAAACAATGTCGTTTTCAGGAGTTTTGTGCAAATGTGAAAGCACCATAAGACTCTTGAACAGTACATTATATCTTCCAACATTGTCATTTTAAACTGAACATGTTTCATTTTTAATAATCTGCCTAAAAAGCCCATTAGATTTAAACATGTTAGAAGTCATCTCAACTTATTTTTTGCTACATTTTATTCAAACGCTCCCATTTTCTGAGTTGTCTTTCTTATCTCTTGTATTCAGGTGCAATCACGACCAAACGCCTGAAGAAAAAGAACTACATTTGTACTTTTTTTTGGGCGTGTTTTTTGCATTCAACCCTTGTTGCTTTTTTGTTGTTGTTGTAATTGCTCCTTTGATGTGACGAGTTAACCAGAGGCAAAGCTGTGAACCATTGTGCTTCGCCAAACAATAATCCACATCCTTCAGGCCAGTGTCTGGCCCAGAACCTACTGCCAGGGGTAGAGAAACAAAGAGGTTATTAGATGTCTAACAATGGAGGGGAAAATGAGGTTTTGTTCCTAATGGGAGGAAAGCTAATTGTTCCGAATACAACAAAAAAATGTGATTGGCAAGGAAATGAAATGACTGTGATTTTTATTTTTTTGTGCAAATGCTGAAACGAGGACAAATTAGATGCGAGAGTACTTTGAACCACACGCACAAAAGCACCAGCTGCACCTAGCAGGAAGGAGCACCGAATGATTCCACTATTGATTAAACCCATTAAATGCATTGTAGTCACGAAGAATGGGGACTGTTTTTGCTAATACTTTTCACATTCAGGTTTCAGACTTTCACAGAAGTATGTTTGCAAAAATAAGTAGGACACAATCACACACAAACACACACACAGCCAGGCCGACAAGGCTGCCTGCACTTCTAAACATCTACAAGCTCCAAAGTGTTGAGTGCGTCACAGTGTTTTATGACTGTAATAACTCAGAGGGCATTTTCCGTTGTAATTAGCGTTGTAGTGGATACAGTATTAGGTTTCAAAAGCAGAGCCAGGTTATCACAGTGCAGACCAGCCCTCTGGACATAATGGCTTTTATACAAGGCATGCAATGCTGAATAACACATAACCTATGTAGTTTTGAACCTGGAGCCCTTTTGAGACCAAAAGACACACACTGACAACCAGCTCAGTTGGAAACATAAAGTCCTTGGTGCAATTTATTAGAGTATTTTTTACATGTAGTCCATCAAAAGTGACAGTGATGTGTGCATTTTTTTGTTATAAATTTGCAAACATTTATAGTGTAGGTTTAAGATATGAATACAGAGGAGAATTTAGTATTTTTTTTATGTGTCCTCTGATGGATTATTTTCTGCACCATCAAACTTCTGTCTCGTTTCTCTCTCTTGGAAACCAGAGAGTGTGCACAAAAGGTGCAATGAAACAGATACAAACGGCTCTCTATCTCTTTTCGTATTCTTTTCAAATAGAATACTAAGTGTGATTTTTCAGGCCTTCTATCTTTCCCTTTCCATCAAAGATGATCAAACGTGCGAGGCAGAGAAGCAGACCGTGATGCAGCCTCCACAGAAAACATCCACAGTCTGTGTCTATAAATAGACATGCCAATTTCTTTTTCACAACAAGCCTCCAGAGATGTCTGTCTATCAGTCTCATTGGATTTGCTCTATACACGCTTTGTTTTTTTTTTCCATTCTTTATTTTAAGCTCCATTACATTGGTTGTTATTCAGCAGGTTTAGCGGCCGTTGGGACGACAGGAAAAATATGAAGGCAAGCCAAAAAAAAGCTACGACCCAAAATGAACAAAAACATTAGGGCTGTTCCCTCAAAAACATCCCATTTGAATTGGATTTGTTATGCTATTCTTCTGACTCCTCAACACAAAAGTGTAAGACTAATTGAAATATTCAGCCATCGAGCTATCATACTTACTGTGATGTTTTTAAACTCGCTCTCTGTTTATGATTTCAAACCAACCAAAAATAATTACGTTAACAGATACGGCATGTTATGCACTAAAGTTTCATACTGGACAGTTTGTAAAAGAGGTAAATCCATCATTTAGACCATATACACAGAAATAAAACAGTACAAAGTTAAACTCAATAAATAAATGAATATAATGTACTGTATGACATATCCACAATTCATTAACAATTTGTGGTGTCAAATCAAATGTGGTGAATTTTTAAAGATTTTTGTACTCTCAAATGCCCGTCTCCATTGTATACTGTTGGAAGCTTCTTGTATTGGTGGAATGAGTTACACTGAAAAGCAGCATTGGGGGCGCCAGTAGCCTAGTGGTTAGTGTGCACGCCCCATGTACGACAGCTATAGTCCTCCAAGCAAGCAGCCTGGGTTTTAATCCGACCAGTGGCTCCCTTCCTGTTTGTCATTCCCCACACACTCTCTCTCTCTCTCTCCCTGATTTTATCCTATCTCTAAATTAAGGCATGAAAGCCCCCCCAAAAAAACTTTAAGAAAAGCAGCGTTAACAAATTGTATGAAACGCTAAAGTCTAAAGGGTATATAAATATGGACATTCAATGCAAAGTCATTTTGTGTCTGTCCTTAATCACTATTGGGTTTTCTTTTCTCTTGTATACCATTAGAGGTCTGCCTGCTTAAACAAGGTACAAAAGATGAAAAGGTAACACACAAACGCACGTACTGCTTTGGGCGTGTACATACAGTCACACACACCAACAAACACTTTGAATTCACCCAGCAGCAGCAGCAGCAGCCGTCCTGTTGCATCAGCTGAGCAGGACCACAAACAAGCTCTCCTGTTTGATCTTCATTAGGAACACGAGCTGCACACGAAGCGAGCACAGTGTGCAGATACAAAACCTCAGGCTGTGGCTCGGACTAATTGTTGTGATCCTGCAGTGAGCCGTAATGACCATGAAAGACTTCTGCACTGTTTCATCCAACAAAAAGCGTCTGATGTTGGATATATATATATATATAATTTTTTTTTACAGCTTGTTCCGGATCACAGATGTCAGACTTTGAAATTATAGCAAGTGATGCATCGGTTGCTTGTAGCAACACCATTACAGAAAGAAAGAAAAAGTTCCAGGAGATGATTTGTATAGAATTAGACCTATGAATGGCTGAAAATTCAAAGCCCAGAGTATGAGTCAACCTGTGTGTGTCCTGTGTGTGTGTGTGTGTGTTTCAGGGTGATCAATGCAGGTAAGAGTGCTCTGAATGAGGACCAGGCCTGCTGCGAGGTGGTAGTCGCACGAAGGAGGCCAATGAGCTACTGCCCCCCCTCCACACCAAGCAAGACCCCCACGGCCAAGAGGCGCAACTCCCTGCCCAACGGAGAGGGTCTGGGGCTGCGTATGGAGCACGGCATGCTGGGAGAGGTAAGACAGTACAAGAAATGATGCAGTCTGTTAAATGAATGAATACCAAAGGGTGTACATACATGATGCATTCATGAACCGTTTAGTTTGCATGCATACAGATGGATACACATGAAGTAGTGACCTAACTAGTGCAGTTCCTTTTAACAAATGTGCTCCATACAACCCAGAATCAGACAGGATAGTAACTTTACAAGCCAAGCCACGACTTTATACGTTAGGACAGTTTCAAACAAACGTCTAATTAGATTTTAAAAAGAGGATGTGATTCTTTTTTAATTACCCCAACATCAAAGTTCAACTGCAATACGGCATCGTCATCATATCTTGGGAAAGTGCTTTTTCTTCTCTGGCTAACATTCGTGTCCTGTTCTCGTGAACCTCATATCTTAGAAATGGTTGGAATAAATATGTACAAATTCGTCACAAATGCCATACCAGGACTCAAGGATGAACTGATCGGAGATGTGAGGTCAAAGGTTAAGATGACTGAGCCGTCATGTCTGACCCATCCTCAGTTGTCCAATCAAACTGTTCTCACAGGAAGCAGAAAGGATAGCGTGTTACTGAGTCAGTGATGTCATTTGGGAGGATGTTCAGACATCACTAGTTTCCATGGTTCCACCCTGTGATCTGTGTGGGAAGGTCGGTCAGGGAATAATGAGCTCATTCTGAGTGACTAGAGACCACTAACCATTGTGGATTTATTTTAGTCACAGCACACTGTTTAGTCACATAAAATGTAACACCACCTTAGCTGAAATTACCGCAGAAAGATGACCATTCAGGTAATAACCAGCAGAGTGTGTGATGGCAGAGACTCTACCAAGGTGTGGGCCCCATGTGCTGTTCCTGCTCAGATGAGCAAATGAAGAGTGAAGGAGGTTTGACCTCTGGCGCTCCCTTGCATCAACTGGACAAAATGAGTCATGATGTTTTTCTCCCGGGCTGATCCTCTCAGCGATGACTCACAGATACTACAAATTCAACTGTAGTAGCATTAGTCATGTAGCTTAATGTTTTCTTGAGCAAATGATTTTCATTTTGATCAATTATTTTCCGATGAGTCAGAGAAGGATTTTTGCAAACTTATCATTCAGACAAATTTGAGTATTTATCATTTCCATCTTTGAACATGTTGCCTTACTGTCAGTTTAAAAGTGATTCTAAAATGTTCAGGACACCAAAATAGCAGGAGGATCCTTTTTGCCCTCAGAAGGATATCTCATCTTTTTTTTTTTTTTTTTTTGGACTTGCTCCAAGGGAGCGTCAACGCACAGATGTGTGCTAGCCTAACACCCTGCTTGTGTTGGATCATACAAGTGTAGGACTGCCTGGGTGTATTTGTTCACAGCTGGGGGAATGATGCAGTTATGCTGTTGTGCTGGTCCTGTGTGTATCATAAAGATTTTCCTCTGAACGTGTCCCGTGTGGGGAAACAGGCTCAGCATAGTTGCTACGCCATTAGAAAGAAAGACATCATCAATGTTCAATTTGGATGATGTCCATTAGACAGAATGGGAATTACTTCTTCCATCTATATACTTATTATTTCATATTGGGGCGTGGTCGGAGGCGCTGCTTTGTCAATAGGCAAGGCAGGCAACTGCTTTGGGCCCCAGACCAGTAGTGGACCCCCAAGAGCTCAGAAACCTTAAATCACAGCAAGTTCCTCAAAATGTGCAAATTTTGCAATGACAGTAGAAAACCTCCCTAAGGGGGCCCCATCTGAAAGCACTCACTCTTTGTTCCCTGCTAGTTGTCCCATGCAACATTGCTGTGAAAACCAGAGTTTGTCAATAAAAGTTATTGAAGGAAAATGAAGAGGCATTATCTTTGTAGGAGTGAAAAATAATAATGAATGCTGGTTTGAGGGGACCCCAATACATTTTTTTTTTTGCCTAGGACCCCAATATTCTCCAGAATCGCCTAGAACTGGCCGTGGTCGAGGTTAGGACAGATGTTTCTCCTGTCTGTTTGTTCGTATGTGGATGAGTCAAAAAGAGTCTTGAGTTCAGGGATATGTCAAAAGTTCTGGGATTTCTGAGGCACATTCCATTCTCAAGGATTTATGACAAGAAGTCAATTCCACTGTGAGAAGGGGATTAAGAATTCTGCTGTCTCTGATTTGAGGGGGCTGGTGAAGTATTTTGGGCCTTATTCAAGTAATATTCAAGATACAGAGGTCATCTTGGGGTCAAATTTAAGCTCGGGAAGTTTTGTAATAATGAAGCTGTGATATTGAACATGACGAGCACACAGCCTTTATTTCGTCTTTTAGTAAATTATGTGGATACTTCAAAAGTTGAATGGCAGAATGTACTTAATTTAATTCTTAATTTTTTCATTATTTTGACAAAAAAAAATGTTTATTAAGATATGTTTTTGGGGTGCTAAGACCAAACGGCCCAAATTGGGAGTAGTCGTGATGAAGTATGATGTAAGTATGTTTATTCAACATGTGTCTGCAGGACAGTGAAGGGCTTGTGTTCCATTACTGGGCCTTGTTCGATGGCCACGCTGGTTCAGGCGCAGCAGTCGTCGCCTCCCGCCTGCTGCAGCACCACATCGCCTGCCAGCTCCAGGCCGTCATCGAGATCCTGCGGAACCTCGCCTCCCTGCCCCCGACTATCATGGGTGAGGAGCCCGACAACAACCCCTACCTCCAAGGAAACACCCCGGGCCCTCACAGAGGCCTGACTCGTGCCGCTTCGCTGCGCGGGGCCACAGGTCCATCCGGTCCCCCCAGCAGCACCCCGCCTCCGCCACGGTTCTTCACCGAGAAGAAGATCCAGCACGAGAGCCTGGTGATAGGAGCCATAGAGAACGCTTTCAAAGAGATGGTGAGAGACAGGTGCAAGGTCCTGATTTGATTCTAGTTTACATAACTCGATCTGTCCTGAAAGCTGCACACTCACTTTAAGTCAGGCGAGAGATAGGACAGTGGATAGAGGAGGAAATCAGGGAGAGAGAGATGAATCCACAAGTTGGATTCAAACCGGGGGTGCCTGCAGGACCACAGCTACGCTACATGGGCGCTCTAACCACTGTGCTCAAACTAATTTTTATTGTAGCCTGACAAAAATTGCTCTCAATGAATTACAGGAAAAAAATGGGTCAGTGATTGAGCACTTAAAAAGCTTTGAATTATTAAAATAATTAGGATGATAGAGTGCTGATGATGATGCTGATGATTAGAAATGGTTGGAATAAATATGTACAAATTCGTCACAAATGCCATACCAGGACTCAAGGATTAGAAAAATAAATACATAAGAGACAGTGTTTTCACCTGTAGAAATATATCTTGGCATTCACTTGATGAGGTTAAAGTCTATAAATCTTCCATTAATGATATAGAGTAGTTTGATTTGCACGAGACACACATACATGGACTTGTTTCACCATGTTTCCATTTTTTTTCTAGTTTGAAATACACGACATGTCAACCGTACATTTTTGCAAGTGGGATTGTAAAAAACATTTGCAATTAATAGATTAACAAAGAGAAACGTGTATGTATTGCTGAGTTCTTTCTTGTGTTTGCTGCACTTACTCACTGATTTTCCAACCTGAGGGACTAAAGGCAAACATACCCACCCCCACCCACACATACACTTTATAGACATGCACACAAAAGCTATTCTTAGTACACAACCTTTATCGTCTCCATACACAGTTTAGTTCGACCTTTAACTCCTGGCTGAATGTCACTCTGCTGAACAGATCACAGTGGATTTCTAAGTTATCAAATGTATCTAGATGTATTTATGTCACTATTAAACTGTATGTGTCCTTAACCTCACAATATCTGAATACGTTATCCAAAAGGGAACAGATTTTTTAAAATGTTTTTTGTAATTCCTTTAAAAAAAAAAAAAAACTAAATCTACCCAGTGTTACCACTAGATGGCGATATAAAACAGCCCACAATGGATCTTGCGGATACCCAGATTTTAAAGGTCACTATAGCTCCTCTCAGATCATCAATTTCCCACGGGGAAAAGAAGCATTTTTACACTTTGCTGGTCATTTTTTGAAGGAGAATATAATTTGATCAGTTAGAAACAGAGTCCTTCATAGAGTACAATCACTGGACATACAAAACAGTGTTTACAGCAGGATTTATGAAAGACTGTGTGTGTGGCTGTAATTGTGAAATACTTAAAATAGAGATAAAACTTTAAGGGAGAAGTGAAGAAGTGACATCTTTAGAATTGGATTTTGTGAAATATGAAGACTAAATATCTGCATGAACAATCCATATTAAAGGGTGTTGAATCTTGATGTGCAAAGTCAGGAAACAAAGCCTTCTCACATTTCACTGTCTGAATTAATCATGCACAGCAAGGTCTTGTGTACTGACATGTGGTCAACAAGAGGTCCAGGTTAAACCAATCGATTCGTCAATAGTCAGCCCACACATCGTCTGGCTTCTTTTTTTTTTTTCTTTTTTTTTTAAAGTTGATCAGATTTTCTTTGTCTTGCCTGCTGCTTACTTTCTGTCTTTGATCATTTCTGCATGTGTGGGCTGCATGCAGTTTGGAGGTTGACTTTACTGACCCTTCTTAATTTTCATGTCACATGTGGGTGGATGTGGGCATTCTTAAAGATTGCATCTGTTGTCTTTCTCAGCGAGGCTTTATTAAAGATTGACAGTCTCTCTCTCCCCTCAGGACGCTCAGATTGAGAAGGAGAAACAAGCCTATAATGTGACAGGAGGATGCACGGCTCTATCTGTGGTTTACCTCCTGGGGAAACTATATGTTGGCAACGCAGGTGACAGCAGGTGTGTATGCAAACGTTGTGTCCTCGTAATAACTGGTCTGGGACAGTAGAATCGGATCAAAATGAATTATGTTAGTTGGAAGGAAATCTTTTTCCTCCCTCTCGCAAATACTGAGCCATTCATTCTGAAAGTTTGAGCCAATCATATGGTTTGCCTTTGCATGACTTGTCAAACTTTTTTTTCTGTATTGTCTGCAGGGCCATCATCATTAGAAACAATGAAATCATTCCCATGTCGACAGAGTTCACACCAGAGTCAGAACGACAGCGGCTCCAGTTCCTGGTAAGAAAACTTTGACACAGAAAGAGAGAGAAAGTGTCTTTTTTAAGAAGGCGAGGCAATAGTATTAATGTTGTACATGTCAGCAACAAGGCAATTCAGAGTGGTTCACACAGGACATCAAAAGCGTCAAAACAAAAGGGGGAAACATTACAAATCCCTAAAACAAACCATAAACAGTCAAAGAGAAGATTAAATATGACCAGGTATGATGTTATACAATAAGATCTAGAAGAAATATGACATTAAGCAAAAAAAAAAAAAAAGACACTGAAAGTCGTTATCTTTTCTGCTCCTCTGTGCTTCAGTGTTTTATTGCTCTGAAGTCTCTAACTCTCCAGATCATCATCCTGAGGATTTAAGCTCATAGTTAGTTCTGTCATTGTTGAGTCACAGCACACAGGTAGGGGCCTAATATGTGCGATATCTACTGAATGAAATCATAAAATGTGCTTACTGTATAATCAGACATTAAGGAAACGTGCTATGTTGACGTGTTGGCTTCTCTGACAACAATGTAGCATCCAGAGTGTCCGCCTTCTACGTTTCAGTTCCGGTCCTGAATGCTTTGTATTTGTTTTGACTAGAGAAGATAGGCGGTTTTGAGACACACCCACCCGGCCATTTTTTCTAATAAGCTCCACGACCAGAAATGCTGTCACAAGGAAATTAGAAACTAGGATCAATATTGAAGATGCTTTTAGATAAGTGGAGAGAGGTCAGAATACAGAAAGCTATCAATACTGATGCAGAGCTGGCTAAACACTGAAGCTTCCGTGTCGCCGATTTTGCAACCCGAGTGCCCGTCAACTCCAGGGAGGAGGGAGCAGGAGAGAGCAGGAGAGAGAGAGAGAGAGAGAGAGAGAGAGCTCTTCTTGAGGAGCTGTGTGTGTGACCACGCCCCTCTGGAAGAGCTTGTGTGTCTCGGTCTTTCTCGCTCCATGCCTAATTGTTTACAGTGAGACGGCAGACACAGAGGGCAGAACAAACACCTAGCTGTGGGAGTGTCACCCATCTGGGGGAGGGGCTACTGCCCTTTGTGATGTCATGAAGGGGGAAAACTGCCTGTTTGAGCACACATTTTCTGAAAAGTGGAGCAGGCAAAAGACGGAGAGGGTGGACTTGAGGGGGTTGGATCTGTAAAGGAAAATGCAGTAGCAGGTTATTAAAAAAAAACACCATCTCTATTAAATAGTTTATCCACCAGAAAGCAATGGAAAGTTTAAGACTGTGTGGAAATGAAATTCTCATTACTGAAGCGAGTCACATTTTCTTCCTTTTTTTGAACAATAATTAAACTTTTTTTTTAAAAACCTATCACCTCAACTTTTTTTTGCACCTGAGAATTTCCACAGCCTTGGCAAATGTAATAGTTTCATACTCACCCAATATTTGAAATAATTGGAAGAATAAGATAGATGGCTGACAGTATATAATCTGAATTTTTTAACGCTCCACTATCATATTGTCAGACTCCAGGGTTAGGTGACATCGGGGGAGGGGGATAAAAAGTGATGGCAGCTGACTTTAATTCGATCTGCAAATCTGCCACACATTTATCCGCCTGACTGACTTGAAGGCCATCATTTTCTGTCCTCCAGGGTTTCATGCAGCCTCACCTGTTAGGAAATGAGTTCACGCACTTGGAATTTCCCCGGAGAGTTCAGAGGAAGGAGGTGGGCAAGAGGATGCTCTACAGAGATTTCACCATGAAAGGATGGTAAGTCTTTTGTCTCGCTTTAACACATTTATTTTCACCCAGACAAAGACCCCTGCATCCTCTAATCACTGCCACAGATTTCCGTTCCTCCTCTTTCGCTGCTTTCACTGTTTTTCTTCCACTGTGACAGCTGAGAGAACCAGCAGGGAGCTAATGAGGGAGCAAGCCTAACCTATATGATCTAATGATACAGCAGGGATGGTCCTATATGTGGTGCTATGTGAGTTAGCGATGCACCATGCTGTCTGACTGTGGCTGCAGCAGAAGCCAGTAATGAGACACACTCACTCACTCACTCACACAGAAACTCATACTGCACAGGACAGTGTGCACTGTGTTGGTTGATGTATGTTTCACTATAAGACTGCCCCTCAGGAGCAGAAATATACCAGCCAGGATGTTCCACTGCAGATGCTACCGTTATGTTTTCTCATTTCATCCAAAACAAGGAAGAACTGTAGAGTGGTGCTGTCAGCATTAGTTATTCACAATCAATTAAGGTCTGAATGAAAGTATTCTAATCACATGCTATTGTGTCCCTTAAAGGTGCACCGTGCATAAGCCTCTACACAGTGTCTACATGTAGTCACAGTGATGGAAAAGAACGATGCTGCTGCAAAACACAAATTTAAAAAAAATGTATCAGACAGCTCAGCTGACGAGTCAAAGTAATATCCACCTTGTGACACCAAACATTTCCCTTTCTCCCCCATTCCTGTTTTCACTTGTTTTTTGATCAGTAAGGAGTTAATGTCTTAACTTTACTGGAAGGTCCTTACTTTATCTCAAAATAAAAGCAGGTTTGTGTCTGAAGGGGGGGGGGGATTGGGACGCAGGCATCTTAAAGTTATCCCAAAAGAATAACCATAAAATCGCAATAGTGATAGATCAAAAAGGGGGGGGGGAGAACTGTATAGAGCCAGAATAAGCGTCCTATACGAAATAATGCACCGAAAATTATTCACTAAACCTCTGCTGCCAAGCAACGGACTCAAAACCAAAATTGTCCGGAAGACCCAGAAAACAAAAACGAAAAGCAAAGGCTGCCAGGGAGACCTTTGATAACACAAAAGACTGGAGTAGCAACGAAACTATCCAGCACCCGAAGTTATACTCTGGGAGACCAGCAACAGAAAACTAATACAAAGTTCTTAGTTGGTGTTCATATATACACACACACAGACAATGAGAGAAACCGCATGATAACCTCTCACTACCTCTGAAGGTGAGATAATGAGTCAGCACAGTATACAAAAAAGGTATACCCCACACCTGAACTTAATCAAAGCCAATCAGTGACACACACACACCTGACTGCAGTGAGTTGATTCTTTCTCTGAGCAGAAAGAGTGAGCGCCCTCACAGGTTTGATTTAAACAGCAAGTAATGTACTCTCAGCTTAAGGCATTACAAAAATTTAAAATTTAGAATTTCAAACTTGCAATTTAAAATGTGCTTGATCACGATTAACTGTTGAAATTCAGCTGATTAATCACGATTAAATGTACCGTAATCTTAATCTTTGCAAGATGGCCAGCTGCAGTTTGTTTTTACACATGCAGCAGATTTAAAAAAAAAATCTACATAGCATTTATATGGATGTGGACTTTGTCTGTCTGTATGAGTTGTATTAAAGTGTCCTTCATTCAGGGAATGAACTGAATGCCTGGGTATTGTATAACCCCAATCCCTAAAAAGTAAGGTGGTTTTGTAAGATGTTAACAAAAACAGAATGTGATGATCTATGAAACACTGAAACCGTATTATTTCATTCAAAAGACCTGTTCAATGTTAAAACTGAGAAATGTTGTTTTTTTTAAATGATATGCCCACTTTGAATTTAACGCCAACAAAAAGAAGTCGAGATAGTGACAACAGAAGACGGGAAAAGTTGTGAAACACCTGATGGAATATCTCACAGTTCAAAAGGTTAAACCGGGTCAGTAACATGATTGGTTAAAAGAAGAGCATTGAGAGAGACTCAGTCCTTCTGAAGTTAAGATGGGGAGGGAAGCAGCACTTTGTGAAACCTACAGTCAGGTTAAACTCGGTCAGAGATGAAAGACTGCACTGGTGAATAGTGAAACACTTTAAGGATATTGTTGTTTCACAAAGAATTTGCTGCTGTACATGAAGGACTTTTCACAAGGGACTAGGCCAAAGACCATTATTAAGTCACTGTGAACTTCACCTCCTCAACTGATCCTCTCGTGGACTTCACATGAGCTTCAGGAAGACTTCTAAAGACTTGCCTGTGAACATAGTCCGTTACTGACTTCACAAAGCAAGCCGAAGTTCGACCATGCAAAGAGGAAACCAGATATAAACCAAATATAGTGTCATTTAAAATGGACTGAGGCAACGTTGAAAAATGTCCTCAGGAATGAAAAAGGTCTGACAGGTCTGGAAATCATGAATGAATCATGAAGTCCCATTGTCAGAGTTCATAAGCCTGCAACAGGGATGGTATGGGGACACATTAACGAACATGGCATTGGTAACCTGCACATTTGTAGAGCCACGATTGATGCTGAACAGTATTTCTGTAATCCAGCCTTGGTCACAAATGAAAGCAGCTAAAAATAAAATTTGAGGTATTTTTTAAAGCATAGCGAAGAATGATGACACTGCTCTTTGCTTCTGAGTTTGTTTACCGCAAGCAGATGCTTCTCATGTGCCCTTGAACAAGGTAACATTCATGAGAAGCTCCTCAAGGGCACGAATACTCCACACATTCTCTCCGATAGTGGCGTCAAATTGCTAAATGCACAAAGATGCCTTTTTACAAAACAGCCAAAAGCGGTAAAACCTCGTATTTGAAAAGCTGGAAATAGGGATTTTTTTTTCCCTGTTTTGCAATAAATGTGTTTGTCTCTGTTATGCAAAAAAAAAAGAATACTGAAAATGAGCTCATTAGGCAGCCCGTCACATCCCACAATAAACAGAGGGAGATAAAATAGTGCAGTGTATCGTCTCTGGCTTTATCCGAAGTTTGACGAGCATGGTGACTGATGGATGTAGAAGTCTACGTTTTGTGCACAAAAGTATAACAGAAAGCTGTGTGCGCCCTAGAAACAAGGAAAATGTCAAATTCCTGATAGGTGTATCATTTAAAGAATAGTGAACTCATCATAGAGAGTTCTACCTCACCTATGACAACCATTATATGTAACATGCTAATTTTAAGTTGTGTATGGTTTTGGGAGATTGGGATGCAATTGCAGACCCCGGGTATCTGAAAGTTATCCCAGATGGATAACCACTAGAATCGTCAAACGATTAAATAGGAGGGGACAAGAAACCAAAAAGTTGCAAGCAAAACCAAAAGGCTCTCTTTCCCAAATAAAAACAAGACTAGAAACAAAACCACTGCTGCCGAGCAGCTGACCAGAAAATAGATTAAAGGGTAGTCCCTTTGATTTCTTAAGACCCCAGAAACAGCTGAGACACAAAGGTCATCAGGCCCGCGTTTACAAAGAAACAAAAAGGCTGGGTCAGAAATTCCCAGCACCAACAAACTACACTTGTAGATCTGCTGGAACCCCGTAAGTAAACCCACCGAGAAAAGTCAAGTGGTGCTTATGCAAAAATCACACACTTCTAGAGGACACAAGAAACACAGAGAGAACCTCTCACTATCTCTGAAGGTGAGACAATGAGTCAGCACAGAGCGCTGCATCTCAGAGATATATATATATAACCTTAACACACCAGGACCAAATCACAGCCAGTCAGTCACACACACACCTGACACTGAGTGAGATGATTAGCTCCCCACACTCAGTAAGTGACCAGTTTAATCTCCCTCACAAGTTGGAGAGAAAATGATCCCAATGATGTCATCAGGAGTGTATCTGCTTCAGCTAATAGATGTAGAGTTTGAACAAAGTGTAGAATCTGACGGATGCATTTAACAGACAGGAAGGGTCTTAAAAAGAGATCCTGTCAAGTTGCATTATTGGGAGTGCATGTTTGGATCTGGTCCCAGACTAGTGACTAAAAGGCTGATATCTCAGCCCCAGTGGTATTCATGTGTATGGTATAATCATACGATAAAGCTAACATGGCTAACACTTGGTTACACATCCAGCCGACACAGAGAACAAAACGTGTCATTTTCAGTTGTTTTTCTGGTCGGTCAGTGAGTGTCGGCCCGTTTCTCTCGGTTCGGTCTCGACCACTTTGACGTAATGGCCCATTAAGCTGCAAAATATTCTGCTTTGTTCAACAGCTAGCTGCTTCATTTGTTTTTTTTTTTCCATCTGCAGTTTGATGCTAGTTTGGCTAGTGGATGAGGGGAGTAACAATAAATTCAAACCTAGAGAAAAGTAATAGTAACTCTGTGCTCTTTATAGTTCGGCCCCTGATTTGTAATTAGCCACAGGTGTGGCTGGGCACACTCAGGCTGAGGAGCAACACCTGGGCAGCACACAGGAGAAAGGGGGGGGGGTGTATCTGCTGGGTTATAGGCTATTAAAATCAAAACAATGATCTGAAAGATGTTGAAAATGGAAAAAGTGTGGTGAATACGTCATTTGATCCACATGTACAATACAATATATATATAGTGCAATTTAGATGAGTTGATAAATATATAATTGAAGAGTTAATCAGAAAGACAATCATGAACTTAATGAATGAGAAAAATCTAAATTTGAGGTATTGAAATATAGTTTTGCTTCCAGGCTTTAATGTGGTGAATAAAAAAACACAATGTGGTCAGACATATTCTTATTTTGAGTTGACAGTCTCGACTACCCTTCGTCAGTCACACAATAGTTACTTCCCGGCTCAAGCAGATGCTGCAGAAGCTGTTACTTATTATTTTATATCCAGATGGGTAGTGATGCAACATAGTGAGAGATTGTAGAACCTGCACACTGCGAGTATGTTGACTACAAAAATAAATCAAAGTGAGCGTATTCAAAGACGGATCTCAGAGTCTGTCTTACACTTCTTCTTACTTCGAACATTCACATCTTTAACGTTTGGTGTATTATCAATATGGGAATGCACGTGTGAGCCGGACATTAAAGAAGAAGAATTTCACTTGTTCATTTCTTGCTTTTATTTTATTTTCTGAACACAGGGCGTATAAGACCGTTGAGGATGAAGATCTCAAGTTCCCGTTGATATACGGGGAAGGGAAAAAGGTAAGAGTCTGTCACCTCCGAGCTCTGTGCTGCGACTGTGGAATTCAGAAAATAACCCACTCTAAGTATTTACTCTCTTGTTGGCTGTCAGGCATGTAGCGCGTGTGTGTGTGTGTGTGTGTGTGTGTGAGTACATCCTCGCTAGAAGACAAAGAAGACGGTCCATCTGTTTCACTCCAGCAGCTACAGCTAACACACACGGACATCCAGACAGACACACACCACTCGGGAGATGACAGTCGTCTCTCTGAGAAGTGGAGTTAATCCCCACAGGGAACAGCAGGGGAGAGATGAGAAGACGAGACGGAAACTGTAAAAAAAACAAAAAAAAACAGTCCACCAAATGAATTGCACAGAAGCCTTCAGTTCTCTGCGGTGTCAGTTTGCTTCATATTTTCAATCAGTTTGGTTTGAGATCAGATGAAAGCGAGTTTCCACAGTGATAAAAGTCAGGAGGAATATTGAGAGATACTTTCATCATTAAAGGAACATGTTGTGTTTCTTGTTTAACCCACCAACAGGTGTTTACACAATCTGTACTGAAAGCAATAACCAGCTCCAACACACACTTCTGTTGTCATCTCTGACTGTGAGGTCTCATTGTCAAACATTACAACTGTGGTTACATCGCTCCATGTTGAGTCCACAGTCTTTTAAAAATGCTATGATATTTCACACTGTGCAAGACGCCTATACTAACGCAGCCCATGTTCTACAGGCACGTGTGCTGGCCACCATTGGTGTGACCCGTGGGCTCGGTGACCATGACCTCAAAGTTCACGACTCCAACATCTACATCAAACCGTTCCTTTCCTGTTGCCCCGAGGTAAGAGCTAACGTAGCAACTAGCCTGCTTACACTCGTTCATTTAGGGCAGAGCAGACGGTAACACTGACCCGGACAGCAGCCTGCTAAACATCACAGAGCCAAGACTTTGAAGAAACAGCAAGAAATTAGATGTTGTGGTAACTTAAAAACAGGAGCACATGTCTTATCTGACACAAGAGTGTGAGCAGGTGTGACATGTGTTTGCAGGCTGGATGACTAATTTATCGATCAGTTATTGTAAATGGTAAATGGACTTGAGCTTGTATAGTGCTTTTCTAGTCTTCTGACTAATCAAAGTGCTTTTACACCGCATGTCAAACCTACCCATTCTCACCCATCCACATGTTAAGTGTCCATCATTGTTAACTAATCCCAATCATGCACATTTACGTTACTTGCCTAAGGACACATTGGACACGATTGCTGCAGGAGCTGGGGATTGAACCCTTGACCTTCTGGTTGAGAGACAACCGACTCTACTAACTGAGCAACAGGTGCCCCAGTTGGAGCATATACATTTTTAAGGTGTATTTTGGGGCTTTTTGCCTTTATTTAGATTGGATGATATGGAATAGCAGGAGAGAGAGTGAGGAATGACATGCGGGAAAGGAGCCACAGATCGGACTTGAACCCAGGCCGCCTACTTGAAAGACTACAGCCTCTATACATGGGACGCGACTCAATCGCTAGACCATCAACGCCCAACAGCATGTAAATCTCACCGCAAATATTACCCTTTGATTTTTTAAAAGGCTGCTCTATATTCCTCTCTCTTCAATGTCACTAAGAACAGATTATCTGCACTTGACATAAGGGATAAAAAGTTGAGTTGACTTTGTCTCTATTCCCCTACGGTTCTAACACCGGCACTGGCGGCCTGCCAGCTGCTATCAATCCAAACAAACAACAACAAGCCTCTCCAGATGGCGGGGATGAGCATTCCAAAGACTTTTTTTCATTATAATGAATAATTATATAATACATCTATAAATATTTGAATGCTTTTATAATCTATAAAAAGATGGTTAAAGATGGCTTGCCTGTGCACACTAGTGACTTCATACAGTCCTGACAAGTCTGAAGGGGGTGATGTCACACCAGTAAACACAGTCATGTGCCAACAAACGCAGTAATGAAGACCACTATGGTTATAGAAATCATTCAGATTGATGTAAACAATGGAGGTTTTAAAATTACAACAAAACAGTCTTTGCAGATGTTTGAGTTAAAAAAAAAAAAAAAAAAAAAAAAGCATACAGGTCTTTTAGTTGTACGCAGCCTTTTCACACTCATTAGCTTCGAGCTTGAGCATGTTAGCTATTGCTCCATTTAGAAGATTTTTTTTTGATTTTTTTTATTGCTTATACTTTTTCTCTCCAACATCAGCTACTGCTTAGCTTTAGCTTTTAAGACTGGAGACAGCTAGCCAACAACATCCTCCTACCAGAACATACAGAGCTTGTTCATTGCTATACAATGCTGTTGCTACATACATGCTACATACATGCTAAATACATGCTATTGCTAGGCCAGCTGTTTCTCTTTTTGCATTCTTTTTTCAAGCAAGAGTGGTTTATATCTTCTTGTAGCACTAGGACATTTTTTTTTAGCATACTACTCAAAATGTTAAATGATTGTGTGAGGTGACTTCTAAAACATTCATCAGGATTCATTTCACCAGGGTCTGCTGTGGAGGGGATGATTATTGCTTAGCCTATTTCAACCTAAACTCCCTTTTTTTCGGTTATTAAGACTCAATGAGCAATATCAAACCATGCTTTTATATAAAAAAAACTTTTTTTTTCACAAATGTCGGTTGAAAAGGTACCAACACAACACAAATGTGACTTGTCCTTCTTTTGCTGCTCGTAGTCAAGAGCATATGGATAAGTAGAGTGGATGTCGAGAGGCTTTTTCAAACGCAGGAATTTTAAATTGACGCCTTAGATTCTGTCTCCCTGAACCCATTGAACCGCAGATTGGATTTTTTTTTTTTTTTCCTCCATTCATTCTAGCTCTGCTGAACAACCCTGTTCCCTGGCTTGTTTGTCATATATCAAAGGATAAGTCTGTCATGTGACTTTCACTGCTTCTACTCGTGTCAAATCTGCACTAAAAAATATCACCAGAGGTACTAGTGTTTAACAGCATCTCTGTCAGAAAAAAAGGGTTTTCTGCTGAGGGGGAAACTTAAGCTCACCTATATGACTGTCTGGCTCTGGTTTCAAAGCGCTTTCATCTTGCGGTTGTAGTTTGTCTTATGAAGTTTTTGCATTTTTTCCTCCCACAGCTCTCTGCTTGATCTTTTATTCATTAACACCAGGGTTCATGCTGGGTTCACATGGAAGACTGAAACCCTCTCAGCACTCCGTCTTTGAGAGAAAGACAGAGACACATCAGGCAGCTGTGGTGGTCAGTGGTGGTCGGTCGACATCAACCAAAAGATCAAGGGTTCGATCTCCAGATCCTGAAGGCACATGTCAAATGTGTCCTTGGGCAACACACTTAACCCCAAGTTGCTCCTGCTGCTTTGTCAGCGGCATATGAATGGATTAGTAATTACTGATAGACTCTTTACACAGCAGCCTCTTCCATCAGTGTGTGAATGGGTAGGTGTAATCTACGGTGTAAAAGAGCTTTGAGTAGTCAGAAGACTAGAAAAGCTCTATGCAAGCTCAAGTCCATATAGTACATTCACACAAACCACTCTCAACTAAATCTAAGTGAGACACTCTCAGTGAATGAAAACTGTGTTGAATTCATTCAGATTCAATGTGAGGGCTAGGTCAGTTTTTAATTTCTATATGGCAGATAAGACTAGAGCTATTTGAGCTGGATGTTATTGACCTTGTAAGCCAGTTTCAAGTGGCAAGGAATATTTCAAGCTTCTGTCGTTGTTCTAATTTTCAAGCTTAGAACCACCAAGATTTGAAGCCTGCCGAGTTGGAACTTATATTAGCCACTAAGCGTCTTTTTAATCATAAATTTACCAGTGGATTTACCAACAAACAAAAAAAACACAGAATCTGTATCAGATAGTCGAGACGTGGTATTATCACATGACAGTGTTATATCATGTTCTCTGTATGAATTGTTCATGTTATCTTGTATTATTAGAAGTTTTAGCAACACTTGCAGCAGATGGTCTATCAATGGTTCCAACAACAGGGTCAAAATGTGAATTACTATTTTATACCCATAAAGTTTTGTACAGATATATTTGAATCCTGAGAAGATGAATTTGGTGATTATTGGACTTATATAAGCTTAAGCTTCAAATTAACTGTCATCGTTGGTTATAAAAAGGCCAGACAACTGCTAGTTAGCTTGAAACTTTTACTGTCTGGATTCATTTCACATTTCAATCACTGCAATAGTTCTCTGTGTTTAGTGCTTATCAGCAATTTACCATGCTTACATGCTAGACCAAGATTATTCCCGGTATGTCGGCCTAGCCATAGTAAGCATGTTAGCATGACGATATTAGCATTTAGCTTGAAACACAGCTTTGCAACCTCACAAGATTTCTAGCATGGCCAGCTAGCAAGAATGATGCTACCCTAGTGTTAGGGGTCAAGTTAATTTTTTGTTGTTGTTGTAAATAACCCTGCATGCTTGTATTTTGCTTTACAGGTTAAAGTCTACAACCTGATGCACTACGAGCATGGGGCTGATGATGTTCTGGTAATGGGAACCGACGGGCTTTGGGACGTCCTCTCCAACCAGGAAGTAGCCGAAGCCGTCACCACATTCCTCGCCAACTGTGACCCTGATGACCTTCACAGGTCTTTTTTCTTTCCTTATTTCTTTATTGGTTTCTTTTTTTTTTTCTTTAGTTGCTTCAAAATTGTTATTCTATACACCTGAAGGCTACGTTTTCCAGTTTCCTAGTAATGTCAGGTGTTCTGGTTTGCATCATTATACTGGAATGCTGAACTGTACTGATCTTTCCAGGATACACAATTCTGTTTATTAATAGGTGGCCTCATGTCTCACTGTACTAATAATTTCAGTTCCTGTGCTAACCCAGTGAAAGTGACCCTGTATGCTGTTGGTTTATTGTTGTGTCCTCTTCTCATCAGGTACACAATGGCGGCTCAAGACCTGGTGATGCGAGCGCGTGGCGTGCTGAGGGACAGAGGCTGGAGGATCACCAACGAGCGCCTGGGCTCCGGAGACGACATCTCGGTCTTCATCATACCGCTGATGTACGGAAACCGTCAACCCTGAGGAGCCCGGCAGAGGTGCTTCCTTTTTAAGGACCTGAAGAGCATGTAGGCTCTTTGATCAACAGGATTCCTAAACTCTTGTTCTCCCCCTTTTTTCCCCCTCAGTGCTGTTTGAATATTTATCTTCTACCTTGGACCAACCGTATACTCAAATTTGGATATTTACATTTGTTGGTGTTTCATGTCTCTATAGAAGTTCACAGTTTGTCAGTCTGATCAAGGGAACTTCAGTCAGCACTGCATTGCGTATTTGTAAAGCCCTAAGAGTCAGAAGTAGTTTGTTGAGTTGATAGAAGTGATGAAGGAAAAAAGTAGAACATTACTGATTACAGTTCCATAGAATGAAGGAGGCTGACTGCCTCTGAACTTCTTCAGAAATGAGACAGCTAAAATAATCAAATGCTCTTTTAATGTGGAGAAAAGACCTCCTCCTTCACGTCTTCTTCTTGCCTCTCTTGCAGTGCTGTACAAAACTCTGCCCTCCTCTTCCTTCTCTTTTAGCCCTCCTCTTTTCTCTTATACTGTACACTCGACTTGTTTGTATAAAGAAAAAAAAAATACCTCCTTCGTCTCGTGACCATGGACCAGGCTGACGAGTCAGCTGCGTTTTTCTGTTTTTGCCACAGTGTGGCTTTGAAGGATTCCCTTGCTGAGGAACTGCTTCCATTTGGCTTTTCAGATTCCTGACTGATTGCAGCGAGGAGATTCTGGCATGGACCTGCATTTCTTTCCCTTCCCTTGAGCATCCTGATAGAATTTATGATTTTTGAGACTTTTGTAAGGGGAGAGTCCGAAAGGAAAGCAAGGGGAGGCTTTTTCTGCTGTTTTGCGTAGTTTTCATGTTTCACCATAAGTGCGTAGCTGATGAACGCAGAGGAAAAGACACAAGGACCTCAGAGTAGCAAGGTGGAACAAGAACCATATTTAGTGGGGATTGAGAACAACCTGTTTTGATCAAGTACTGGGATATAGTTTGATAATGGTATATGAACAAATGCATGTGATAACTCCTCAGTGATCTAAAAGGAGAACTATTAACAGCCACTCATCACTTAATCTAAGACTTGAGTCTTACAAATTGTAATTTTACTAAAAATGTTTGGGTTAGGCTGAGATTTAGATTAGAAGAATGGTAACTCACATATCTGTGTGTAACATGTGAAGCCATAGCCAGGAGACCATAAGCTTAACTTAGCTTAGTTTAGATTAAGACTGGAAGCAGGGGGTAGATCAGTAGCTTGGGCGAGAAAAAACCTCTAAATCATGTGATTGAATCCATCATATTTTATTTGTTTTATGTCTTAACACACAGCAAGTCCCACACTTAACACTTTGTTTTTATATTTTCATTTTCTTCTTAGGCTTTTTGTTTTTTTAAAGGTCCCCTGGCTTAGGCCTCCTATCTAATGCACATGGGCAGTAAGAATCATGCTGTATTTCCCTAAAACAATGAAAAACAATGACACTTTAAAAACTGGAAATTTGTTCAAATGGACAAAGTTTAAGAAATACATTTTCCCAATATCCCTAGCAAAGGTCTGACTGAAAAGACTAAACATAAAATATGACTTAGACCCCAGTGTACCCCTGACGCACATCACTAACAAGGGAGTCATATATATATATATATGTGTGTGTGTGTGTGAAAGGACTAATTCATATTTTTAATAAATAAAAATCCTGAAAATACAATCAATGTCAAGATGAACATAAGTTCTTCAATGAGAGGAAGTTGGATAGCTTTCTTTTGCTTTTTTCACAAGCTTTAGATGCTTGATCCCGTTTGTCTCCAGAGGGACAGGTTTGAGAGTAACGATGTGCTATTGGATGTAGTGATTTTTTGTGTCAGTGCATTTCAAAATGTAGGCCTGGGAATATAAGCAACAGTGCAATGGTTTAAACCTGTTTGTTTTTAATGGACTGAAGTTGTATTTATGTTACGTAACAAAGAGTTAGAGATGATGTCATTTGTTTGTTAATGTGCAGAGATCTGTCATATATTTATAAATGTTTCTTTTTTTTCCGTTAGGGTTATTAGCATCCCAGAAATTTAAGAGCAGATTCATTGTGAAGGAAGGGAAAAAGTTAACATAGAATGGTAATGGATTGACTCAAAATCAGATCATGTATGTTTTGCCCTTTTTTACATCTTGTTGCCTGGGTTTTTTAAAAAGAAAAGGAAATATGAAGCGTTCATTATTGTGTGGCAGGGCCTTAGGAACTGATGTGCATGTGTATTTTTTCTGCCCTCTCCCACCTTATTATTCTGCATTGATACAGGCTATACTCCTCATCCAGACACATTTGTTTAAGATGCAGGAGATGTGAGTTAGTCTGGGGGAAGAGGATCGATGAAAAAAGTACATCATTTTTTTTAAAACTTGGATTCCAAGCTTTAAAAAAAAAAAATATTGAAGGCATAAAAATAGAGTAAGCTGCATGTTTTACAACCTTGACTGATAAAAAAAAAACTGTCATTGCTAGTTATTATGACTCTTTTGCTCCTCACTAATGGACATGTAGAGGTTTAGGGGTTTGGTGTACTTTAAGCTTGACTGTATAATTAGAATATCTCGCTCTTTTTCATGAGATAGTAAAAGTGATAAACTGAATCCAAAGAAGTTTGTTAGGAAATGGTGCGGGACTAAGATGAGAAAGGAATAGTTCAGACATACTTGGATGTGAACTTATTTTCTTTCTGGCGCAACTACAAGATAAATCGCAGAAGCTACAGCTAGCAGATACTCGCTAGCTAAATCTAGCTAACATAAAAAATTGAAACGGGGAAACAGCTAGCCTTACTCTATGCTAAGGGAACAAATACCACTTACCAGCTCATTAAATTCACTTTTGTATTCTGTTTACCAATTTACCAAAATGACCATTCAATGTTTTACAAGGTGCTACCAGTCTATGTTGTGTTTTGGTGTTGGTATGACCAAAACACAATGTATGCTGATCTTGCTAGTAATACCAGCATGGGACACACCCATAGCTCCTCAAAAAGCATAAAACTTAAGTTTAAACATTTTCACAAGTGGTCTTAGGGGTGTTGGTTGGTACATTTTGTTAAGCTAGCTAAGTAAGCTAGCTGTTACCCCTCGATTCAAGTTTTTGCGCTCAGCTTAGTTTACGGTCCCCTTGGTAAGCAAACAGGAAAGTATCAATCTTTTGAAGTAATTCACAGCCAGAAAACAAATAAGCGCATCTCCCAAAATGTTGAACCATTGCTTTACATGAAATGATATGTGCCATCGTGTTGTATAGGCTACTTATAATCTTAGCTTGAGACATTTTTGCAGATGACAATTATCTACATTCCTTCAAGCGGTGGTCATTTACATTTGCCTGAAGTCAAATGGTGCGTATTTCCTCCTGTACATTCCATAAAGGACTATTCATTTAAAAACATGTATGCGTTATCATACATTTCATAAGTATATCTGTTTTACCTCTTATGGTGCATTTTGTCCATCGTACAAGATGGCAGTTCCCAGATGTTTTTTTTTTTCTGGGTTTAATTTATTGAATGTCAATTATTTTGTATCTGTTTTACTTTAGGTAAAAAACTGCCCTGCCCCCCACCTCAGCATTGTTGTAGCATACGCTTTAGTTCAACAGTGTGGTTCCTTACAATCAGATTTCATCTGACAGAGAAAGAGTGAATGTTTTGAACTGTAAACGTATTAAGACAATGCCTGACTGGGGAATATTTGTTGAATGTTCATCCTTATACCTGTCATTAAGCCTTTTTCTCATAGATGAATGTCAAAGAATGAAAACATGATTTATTTTTGTCATCCTACTGTGCCACCCAACCACTGCACATCAACTCAGGTTCAGTTATCATGTGTAGTTCAAGTGTCCGAACTTGTAAGATTTATTTTATTTAAAGGAAGGGAGTCCTCCAAGGTGGAGTATAGGTAACACTACATTTGTAAAAAGATAGGAGTTTGTTGGTATGTTTGGGAAGCTCTTAGACTTGAAAGTTTCCCTTGTCCCTTTGACCCAACTTTTTGAAATTGCTGTATTGTGAAAGTAGCCACTGCTGTTGTTTTCTACCTTAGTCTGTTAAGGTTTGATATGGGAAAATGAGAAGAGATGCTGTTTTTTTCTGTAGCAGAGAGGAAGTTTGAAGCTCAGTGGGAAACCGTTTTTAAGAGACCATTGTGCTACCCTCAACCTCTCCACTTGTGAATGTGAAATGTACATTTTGTATAACAAAAGGATAACTTATGAAGTCAAAAAAGAAATATTTTTAATGTTTCCTTGTGCAACTTTGGGGGGAATAAGCAATGTTTACCTTCAGTGTTTCTTTTCCAGAAATAAAAAACAAAATAAATGTTAAAGGTCAATGTAAAAAAAAAAAAGTTGTTTGCGTTATTTAAGAGTAAAAATGGAATTTCATGAAAATCAAAGCTCAACATGAACGCAGACAAATGGTTTCCAATAAGAGGAGAAGTGCTGAAGAGCTAACCAATATTGTTGCTTTTTTTTTGCATATACTTCCTGGGGGAAAGCAAAAACTGACAAACAGGGTCAACTGGCCTCGGAAAGACTGTTAGAGTTTGAGAGCAGAGGGATTCATTAGTGGGACTATGGAGTGCTCACTGAATCTGAAACACTTTACAGGAGACAGGCTGACAGAACAGGGTCAACAGAGCACAACTTTGTTTCACTTGTAAAAAAAAAAAGAAGTCAAATCTCTATTTAAATATTATACTTGCCATTAAAAGTCCCCAAAGAATTTGAAATGATGTACTCCAGTTTAGGCTTAAATAAATAAAAAAGGACATATTCTAATGCAGCGAAAATGTGACTGTTCTTCATAGAGAATATTCTAGCCATTCTTTATTCCTTTTTTTTGTCTACTTTTGTCACAGGTGTCTTTTAATTAGTTTTTTTTGTTAGTCTTTTTGGACATATATTGTTTATACATGTAATAGCAAATCAATCCATCTTTAATTTTTGAAACCAAGAGTTATCACTCACTCAACTGGACACATCTTGAGTGTGTTTGCACATTTCTGCTACTTTCTGTTCAAGTTCCTAACAAAGTGAAGGAGCTGTGACAAATGGCACGCACTCTTGAGAGGTAAAAATGTACCTGTCACCCACTCCCCCATAAACAGACCACTATCCCTTTGGGGGGGGGGGGGGCACATACACCCTTCAACTATATTCATTTTATGACACTCCCTAAACTTGATTTTAGTTTCACAAATGGTCCAAGCAAGAAATACAGTAAACTGAATTTTGAAATTCTGAAATTTCGATCTGCTTTCAAATTATGTCTTTACAAATATGATTTTGTTGAAATATAATCTGAAATTTAAAACAAGATTAGCATCGAAAACAAATTAAAAACACATATTCAGAGAGAAGAAACACAAACCAACATGATGCCATCAAGGTCATTTTATTACAAATCACATCCAAAAGAAGACGTATTAGGTTTGCTTGTGTTTCATTGGTACACATCGCTCAAGTCACATTTACGCACAATAGCGTTTGCATGAGATGTTAGTATGAAAGCTATTTCGTTTCCAAATTCCCGTGTTTACAAACAATGCAGTGGGCTCCGTCCTTCACATCGATCCCGTTTGGTTCCTCTGTCGTTAAGTCACCAGCGCCGGCAAGGCAGTAGATTGCGCAGTCATCTCCACAAGGGGTAATATGACAACCCGACCAACAGCACAAACTACTACCTCAACCAGCACTTGGCTCTCGCTGCTCTTTGCCTTTTCTTTTGTCCTCCTCACTCCACTTCGAGTCTCAGTCGGGTTTCGTGTCGCTGTGCGTAAAAGCGCACGGAAAAATGGCGTGCGCGCAAGAACGTGGCCGCATTAATACAAGACAAAAAACCCCACCCAAAGAAAAGGGAGAGAGAGAGAAAAAAAAAACCCACCCCCTGTACCTTTTCCCAAATTTCCTGCACCCGCTGTTCTCCTCAGATGACCTCAGTGAAAACGGCATATGGCAGGTGAGGACGGCGAGGCTCTCCGTCGAGAGCAGCATAGCGACGTTCATCATCATGCTGGAACACGGGAGGGGATTTGGTTATACATGTTATTTTACATAATGACATAAATATTTATTCTGCATAACATGAATAAGTAACGAAGAAAGCAAGAGCTGTACAATTCTGCAGACAGGAAATCTTAAACAATGATTTACGCGAGGACTATCACGAAAAACACATTACAACACTTTCACCCTTTAACAAGAAAAAGTCATATCTTTATATAAGCCGATTATTCTTCATGGTATCACAGAAAAATATATACGATTATAGGTTTTGGTTGCGTAATGAACCACGTAAAATAAGAAGCAACGAAAAGCCACAAGAAAAGTCCTTCCAAGCAAACATTACCGGGATTTTGTTGAATCTGAGAGCAAGCCGAGATTCCACATCGACTCCGCACTCACTCCTTCACCTTGCAGCTGAACTGCAGCAGACTGTTTTATAATCTATTGTTGTCTGTCTCTGTCCCTGCGTCGTGAGAAAAAGTTGATCCGGTATCAAATCCACTCGATTAGAAACTGAAAAGTTTTTACAAATCCACGGAGGACTGATGATGATTTTTTTTTTCCTCCCCTCCCGTTCCTCCTCGCAATTACCGCATGTCAGGTAGGTGTGGAAAATGAGTGGATTTGGCGGAGCAGCGTGGATAAAATTCGCGCGGAACGTCAGGACGGGTGTAGGCACGACCAGAGAGTAGAGAGAAACGCGAGGTCCCACTCTGACGAGGTTTTCAAACACCAGCAAAAAAGAAAAAAAAAAAAAGAGGGAAATGTGAGAGTGCGCCCTCAGCTGGATAGATTTAAAACAGCCCCTTCGTGTTATTATAGGGAGACTTGTGAAGCACCAAATGATTTCATCAGTTGCTGTTAGAAACTTTGCATTCAATTAAATCTTCATAGGATTTGAGCAGTTTTCATTTTAAAGGCAGCCAATCTTACATTGCAGCGCTGAAAAGCCTACCTTGCTGAGTAAACAAATATTGTACAGGTTGTTTATGTTAGTGTTTTATTGAAGTGAAGTTCTTGTTTTGACAAAAGCGTAAACATTTTTGTAATTCTAACACTGTTTTGACTTATGTTTTCCTTCTTTTAAACAGTAACAACCTCAACAATGTAATTGAAACAGCGGTACTTTAATGCGTTTAATTCGGGTGCTAACATCAAGATTTACTCGTAATATAATCCGCTTAAATTCATGTAAGTTATATATTATTAATTGCATTTCCCTGTTCTACACAAAGTAAGACATTTCAAGCACTCACGGAGAGATGGAACAGTCATTAGGATCCTGTTTTTCCTCGCGAGTGATGCTCTGTTCTGCACACAGCTGCTGCATCCTCTCCTGCTTCCTATTGGTCAGAGCTGATGAGCCGCTGCTCGGGGGAACCTCCCAGCTGTGAGCGGGCAGAGAACCCGTCGGAACCTGGAGAGAACACCGTGTTCCTCCTCGCAGATCAGCCTGCAGCTGCTGCACATATTTGATTAGAGACAGGGGGAACATAAAGGACAACTGCAAGCATCATTTCAATTCCTACTAAACTAATCAGCTTACAATGTAAACATGATCCAGTGGGCTGAAAGGAGATTAATGTTTGTTCTGCATAAAGGGAATGGCATGGAAATGATTCTTACTATGTGTTCTGATCGAGATCTGTACAAATAAATGATGGACGCAATGTAACGCCTCCATACAATCATTGATTATACACCAAATGTAAGGATAAGTCAGCCAAGACATATGCATCCTTTTGGTATTTTCCCTATTCTTCTCTCAAGTGAAAGAGTACTAACAATGGTGTCTTCCATTATTTATGAAAAATACACACATCAGGGTACAGTGATGGGAGTCTGCCAATGAAACACGCACACACACACTAACACACACAAGCACAGACAGAGACACTGCTGCAGTGCACCGAGAAGAAAAACCAGAGCAGGACCCTTAGGAAGCTTTACACAACTTTATTGAAGATTGTGTATAAATACACATGCACATTTCAAATGTAAACCCAAGTGAACTCAAGTGCAGCCAAACCTGGAAACCCCTGTTATGTCATCATGCAAGGATGTCTGGATTATTTTTTACAAAAAAAGTCCCAAAAACAACAGAACCATCCTTTCTTTTAAAAATATTCCATCCCTGACTAGAGCACAGGCAAGAATTTGCAAACTAGTGTGTATGTGTGGACTCGAGCCACGACCCCCTACCATCCCCCCACCCCAACCCCCAACCCCAACCCAGCCCCTCCCGCTTTGACATTTCCGGTCTTGCCAAGGTTTTAAATATATTGTCTGTTTATTATTAAATGCTTACATATAAATAAATAAACTTTATCAAATGTGCACTCACAGAGTGAACTCTTATGTACAGTATTGTATAAGCCTATAGTAGCAATCACATCTCACTCAGTCAGGATGGGGTGAGTCGCCCAAAAAGCAAGGCATCGCTGAGGCGGTAAAGCCCACTGAAGTCAAAGCACAGAGATGCTCATAAAAGGCATGGTACACAGCTAATATTCTGAGGCAACAACAGGTATGCTAATGCTGTTTACAATGGAAGGAACAGGTAGAAAAAAGAAAGCATAACACTCCACCATGGAGAATAGTGTTTTATCATGAGTAACATCGACCCTGCAACAATGTGCCACAAAATATTTTCACTGTATCATGATCCCAAAAGCTGAAAGGCCTTTTAGACAGACTCACCCCGTAGTTTTTAGTTTTGTCCCTCCCTCCCTCCCTCCCGTCCTCAAAGCTCAGGACCACAAAGAAGCATCCCCCCCCCTGCCCCCTTTTGGAAAGGGACGCATTCAGCAGTACCCATGAATTCCTACAGCTAATTTCAAAGGCGAAAGACCCATTACCATCACATTCAACCAAACCAAAAGGAGGGATGAAAAAAAAAAAAAGAAGAGAGAAAAGAAAAATCACAAATCTGGCCCTATAAAGAATCAAAAAGGCATCAACCACATACATCTGGTCAGTGTTCATTTCATTCAGCATACATTCTGGCCCTCCTGCGGCATTAAACAAACCGTGTCTGATATTACAAGCAGGCAAATCATATGGACATTCGTACATGGAGTTCGGTGTGTGTGTGTGTGTGTGTGTGTGTGTGATCCGGGGCCGTGCAAGAATGACGGGATAATAAGATAATAATGTGCAAAGAAAAGGCGACTGGTCTGAGATTAAGAGTTAAGGCTGTGGTGATGCAGACAAGCGATGACACATCTGCTGTCAGCGGAATCACCCGTGTTTTCTAATCTCGCAGAGCCTCAAAGATGAAGAGGAGAGAGAGAGAGAGAGAGAGAGAGAGAGAGTGGAGGCATGGTAAAGCTTTAACACCAACAATGAATGAATAACTTAAAGATGGAGGGTGGAAGAGGAGACTTGTGGCTTGGGATATACGAGTTTCCAGCTAACTTTTTAACAGCTATTTGTTGCCATCCGTGCACACTATGATTAAGATGATGTGCCACTGGAGTTTGTAGTTCTTTTCTGAACATAAACTGTACAACCTTAGAACTTGTTCGGCTAATTTTGCAAGGTTAGGATAGCTTCTTAATCCAGTTGTATTTTAGGTTTAAGAAATATGAATTATAAACAGAGAAACCCAGTGAGAGACAGCAGAAGCAGGACCTTAAATTATGGAGGTTCATGCCGATACACTATTAATCTATCTAGAGATGCGAGATCGCAGCAGCAGCAGCAGTAGCAGCAGCGTACAAATCTAGGACAGTTTGGCTCTTTGACTTTATAAAACCACACAACTACGAGCGTCTCTTCTCTGCGCTCAGTCTAGACTTTAGACACGTCTCACCACTGGCCTGCTGAAAGCAGCTTTTCAAAGCTCTCTATGTGAGAAAACCCTGTGAGAGAAAAAACCTTGTTACACAATTGCAGTTTGTCTGGCAAAAAAATACACGTTTAAAAAAAAAAAAAAAAAAAAATGGATGGTGGGTGATTGTGCAAGTTCAAAATGTTTCAGCGCATCATGAAAACCCGATATAATTCAGTGTTTAAAATATTTACAAATCTAAATGATAAAATGATATGCCAACAACGCTTTGCTCTCAATATATATATAAAAAAAAAACATCTGATGAAAACAGAAATCAGAGGGTGATTTAAAAAAACAAAACTCAAAATCATCCCCCAATGTCGTTCAGAGAGTCTTTTCTGAGAGCACGCAGCAAATCCTAAACAAATGGACGTGGCGACACAATCACACACTTGACATACACACACACGCACACACACACACACACACACACACACAGTGATCCAATCACAGAGGAGGGCCCTGATTCTTGGAGTTGCGTACCCCGGCAGCTCCCCAACCTAACAGCCGTCCTCCCCGCAGTGGCTCCGCCTGTTGAGCGGCCGAGTCCGAGCCGCTGGGTGGGACCGGTGGCGCCCGCTGCCATGCTGTGTGTCCATATGGCTTTGGAAGGAAAGATCCTTGTCTCTCTCTCTCCATTCATCCCGGTCCTCTTTTTCCTCAGTTGGTTTTCATAGCGACATCTCGATTTGGCGCCTGCTCCTCCTCCTCCTCCTCCTCTTCCTCCTCCTCCTCCTCCTCTTCGTCTTCCTTCTCGTTGTCGTTTTTCCTGAGACGGTTCTCGTTCAGGTCCTCCTCGTCGCTCTGAGGGGCGGCCCCAGCGGCGGACGAGGCGCCCTGAGACGAGGAGGCAGCCTTTCTCTCCTGCCTCTCCTCGCCGTCGTTCTCCTCGTCCTCTCCCTCGTCTTCCTCCTCGTCCTCCTCTTCCTCCTCGCGGTCCAGAGCAAAGTAGCCCGTGCCTTTCACCGTATCCTGACGCTGGTAGAACAGCACGTAGCCTGCTTTGGACTAAAAGAAAGACAACAATAAAAACAGCTACTCAGACATACAAGTTACAAACTAAATGTTAATTTTTAACTAAACACCCATGCCTGAAATGTTTCCTTAAACAATCTGATTTTTTTTTTATAAAAACAAATTCCATGTAAAGCAGTCCAAAGGCATAATAAAGAAAGCCTGCTATATTTATTTGCGTATTTAGGGTAATTTCGGATGCACATAAATAGCGCAACATCTCAACCTTCTGCATATCTCCACAGTTTCTCTTCTGTTTGTGGAGACTTTAAAGGTCACATATTGATGCAAAATACACTTATACCATGTTGTTGGAACACCAACATGTGCCCTTTTCCCGTCTACAAACCCCCCCCCACTTATGAGAAAAGTCCATCCTCTCCATCTTTTGCCTGCTCCACTTCTCAGAAAATGTGTGCTCAAACAGGCCTTTTCCCTGGATGACATCACAAAGGGCAGTAACCCCTCCCCCAGGTGGGTGACACTCCCACAGCTCCCAAAGTAAGTAATTTAGGCATGGTGCAAGAAAGCCAAAGCGTGTGATCAGACACAGCTCATTTTGCATTTAAAGCTACAGACAGAGAAACAGCCTGTTCTGAGCAGGGCTGAAATAGAGGTGTTATGATAAAATACAGGATCGGAGAGGAGTTTTAGCAAGAAAATTCACAGACATGTTGTTGGGGACCTCTGAGACTTATTTAAACTTGTTGAAAAGGAGGATAATATGTGACCTTTAAACACATTTTCCAAACAGCAGAAGGTGTCCATTGCATCAGTCGTGACTGTGCAGTGAGAAATGACATTGTTTTCTCCATATCAAGCGGAATAATCTGTGGTTTGTTCAGGTGTTAGCCTTTACAAACCTTCTCTTTAACCCTGACTGTTAACTGAATGAGACTCCACATTGTTTGAGTGCGGACTCAACGCGCTGATTACTGTCTATAAAGAACTAGACCAAAAAACAATAAGTGCAATCACTAAGAAAAACTAAGAAAACTAACAAACTAAGAAAAGGAAATCCTCAATATGTTTTGGTGCTCATCAGTAAAGTTCAAATTCATCCTCAGTAGTAGTTTAACAATGAATCCCAGTTTGATAACAACATTGCAGCCTTGGATGAATAAACTGTAAGGTAGAGCAGTTTTGGCAGATGAGGCCACTCACCACTATCTGATCTTCATTAGCAGGAGACACACTGCTGTCATCGAAGTTGTACCACTTTTCATCGTCTTTGTTCTTGGCGTAAGCAGTATCTGTGCAGGAGATAAACAGAAGACAATACGAGTATGATACAGCTGTGCCATTTACCCATATGGCTTGTTAAATAAAACATCAACACTTAAAAGGAAAACTTCTGTGTGTATGGACTAAGAGTTTTATAGATATCTAATTTCACAAAACACTAAAGCACAGTTGTTAAAATGGTTTTAGAAGGGCTCTGCTGTAATACACACTTTCACACGCAAAATGGTCTGTATGTTTATCAGCACACCATATGTGCACATCTTCATTACTGCTGTGTATCCTTCCGCGGATAGATAGATAGATCTACCTAACACACGTACACCCCTCCTGTCCCTGACAACTCTCGTTCCAGACTACATTTTCAAAACTCTGAGCACTAACACAAACATATGTTGTGCAGCAATTATAACAGAATGACAATGCAAAATGCAATGAACCCCTGCTGTAGCGCCTGCTGTGGTGAGTTCAGAGTGAAACAAAGCTGTTTGATAAGGACCATCAAACACCTGTCATAGCTCATGTTAACCGCTGCAATCACTGCGTTACAGGCATGTGATGCATACTGTATTAAAACAGCAGCATGTTTCTTGATTGTGCAGCTTGTCGGTGCATAACAACAGATTAAAGGTGTCTAGTTTTGCAGTATAAGTTATCATAACTATATGAGGGTGAGCAGCAAGCTTTGAAACAGCTCATTGTTGTGAATCTTACAGTGGCCTCCACCCATCCCTCCGTAGTGGTTCGACACGGCTATGAGGTCATAGCGACAGGGCCCAGCGTTGGGGTTGATCAGGAACTCCGACATGTCCAGATCTCTGCAGGAAAACACATCACAGAAGAAGTTCTAAGTCATCATGAGCTCTAATTTTTCTTCCAGCTTAAGAAAGCACAATGTGTGTATGCATTGGTCTAAGGTGAAAATGTAGTGTTAAAGTGCTGTTTGTGTGGTCAAATCAATGAAAATAGACTTGATTACTATCTGATATTTCACATCTGTAACATATTGTACTTTCACACTTGCACAAAACTCCCGGAAACTTCATGAAATTTTCAGGAGGAACGTGCATGTGTAAACGCTAAAAGCCACATTTTTCACTCTGACTTCAAACTGATATTTTTCCAGCAAGCCTTCGAGTAAATTTTCCAGGCGAGGCCAGGGTACGCCGACGTATTCACAGTGAGAATTTCAGGACATTTCATCAAGAGCGAACAGGAGGAGTCTGTAATGTTTAAGATTGTATTCATGCAACAGGTGCAATCTCCACGCATGTAGTGAAACTGCTTTATTTATTCTGTTTGCCAGCATGTTCTTCTGAATCTGTCGAGCTACACACAGCATTGATGTCAAGGCCAACAAAAACAGAATCTGAATCTGTTGCTTCATCTGCTACAGTTTGCCACTTCCGAGTTGATATTTTTCACATCATTTCTGCCTCCTGAGTTTTCCCCCCCACCGCCCCATCCGTGAGGGACACGTGTGAAGAACTAACTCAGTAAGATTTCACAAGCAGTCTGAGAGAATTTTTCTTCTAGAAATTTTCAGGAGTGCATATGTGAAAACGGCTAGAATGTGATAACCTCAACTTGTCTACAAAACAGTACAAAAAGAGATTTTAGCAATCCATAGTCTTTGTGATGATGTGGTAACACAGACACTAACATGAGAGTAGACATTAAAAATCTATTCATTGACTTTTTCTACAAAACTAAACTGTATTATGTGTGTAGTTAAACCTTTGATTTGCATGAGAGTATTCATCTGCTGTATATATACTGCAGGTCTGCGTATACTATATGTGGATCAAGTAAATGGGTATGGGAAAACAACAATGGGTAAAATGCTGAGAATGCAGTGTGCTTCTGCAGTAATTTATTGCCTTTTCTTTCTGTGTGTTTGTGTGTGTGTGTGTGTGTGTGGGGGGGGATGGTATTGGTGCATACCTGAGCGGAAAATCAACAAGGGAGTCGAGTTTATCCCTCATGTAACGGCTGTAGGAGAAGCGTTTCAGATGGACCACCAGCACCGGTGGCAGAGACCAAAGGTCCAGCTTCTTCGTGGCCTGCTGGTGCTGCTTACAGTTTGGACAGTACCTGCGAGACAAATGCAGGCGACACCACGCGTTTCAGTATTTGACCTTGATAGCCGGATGTAGCAACCTGCCTGTAACGTTGTTTGTTTTGACTTCATGTCGTGTGATTCTCACCAGGGATCCTCCGCTCCTAGTTTTTCCTTGGTGGTGAACAGCTCGATGCAGTCCTTCAGCTTAAAGAAAGCCTTCTTCTGAGGCTTGTACTCCATACTCTCATGCTTATCAAAATCCTGCTCCCAGTCACACACACAGAATTACACAAACAGCTGTTTAGAAAACACTCCTCACAGCACTGTCGGTCTCATTGGACAAGGATTACACCCCTACCCCTAAGAGAACAAACAAGAGAATACACTACTTCGAAGAGGCTTCGTTTAATTCACTCACAATACTTGGATTCATAAAGTGTCTAAAGCCCACCTTAAGACAGGGTTTGACTATTTACAGATCCTATATGATGATTTTGTAGTTTATACAGGGAACTTCATCTAATCTGATCCTTTGTGTGGGTAATTAAAACCCCACTGAACAGACCAAACAGATCGCTGTACCATTTCTTTTCAGCCCTAAACTTGGATACTCAATATTTCTCACAGTGAGTGAGATGGAGATTGAACATGGTCATTAAGAATTCAGTGGCTGCTGTGGGCATCTAATTAGTGACCTTCTGCTTCCAGACTACAGATCCTGTCTGGGCCACTTCGCCATACTTTGCAACATAACGGCACACTGCACTTTGTTGTACCCTGAGCAGTATGCATGCTGAGAAGTGGACCAGCTGTTCTGCTGCATTAATACTGCGAGGTACAATATCAGTGTCAGAGAATTTCTTTTTTTTTTTTCTCATTTCTTGATGTTGGCTTACCTCCACAACGGTCTCATCAAAGTACTTTTTCTTGATCTCTGGTTCCCAGTCCAAAGACAGGTAAGAGCGGTCTATGGAAAGGTGGGGGGGGGGGAATGTTATTACACAAATAAGCATCAGCATTCAGTTAAGTAGTGGATCCATGGTTCTACAGGATCATTCATTCCTACACTTTGAAACAGTTTCAGTCACTTTGTGCAGCAAATGAAATACTAACTTCATAATCATTCTAACTGTCCAGAATATATTAAAAAAGAAAAGAGTATTCTGTTTGTAAAGTGCACTCTTCCTTTATTCCCCAGTATACACCTCAGTCCCTACCACTGAGTCGGAGGTGTCCCTCATCAAAGCGGATCTGCCTGGTGTCCTCCTTGATGAGGGAGAAGTCGGTTTTTCCCATGTTGTTGAACTGGAATGTAAAAAGTCTCTTTCTGTTGTGCCCGGCTGTCTGCTGGCCTTTGGTGGAGTTCTGTGGGCCGACCACGCCGTTCTCCAGCTCGTTATCCCCGCCCACAGAGTCCTCTGATTGGCTGTTGTCGTTCTCAGAGGGGAGCTCCTGATCCTGACTGGACTCGTCATCCTGCTCATCTGTCTCCATCTCACCTGAGGGAGGACGCAAGAGAATGTGAAGCATGTGCTTAAAAAACACTTACTATGAATAACACAACCCATGGGGCAAAAATAATTAAATAAAAAAAGGTAGAGATTGCAGAATGTCTCACTTTTACAGGTAAACGTCTGTGTGTTGGTGTTTGTGCACTCACTTGGCGAGCCCTCCTCCAGCAGTCCATTAGTGGCGTTACCATTGACAGTGTGTTGTTTGGTTGGCTGTGTCTCTTCACAGTCTTCCTCCTCCTCCTCCTCCTCCTCCTCCACTGAAGATCGCACAAACCGGCTGCAAACATAAAAAAAACATTTTCTTTAAAGCATCCTTTTGTTTTTGTGCAAATTGCCTATGCCTTCATTTTTTTAAAAGCTAAATTCCTCTGTCCTCTAACTTCTTCTTGATTGCATACAGAATGTATCATCTGCCATCAGAGTTGACATCACTATGTGATTAGATACAGAGATGAAAGACGGTACCAGAGGCGCAGGAGCAGCATGTTGTAGAGTTTGTCTTCGCTGAGTGTTCTGGGGACGGCAATGAGGAAGGGCTGTCCGAACAGTGGCGTGCTGGTGTGGTTGTAGCCCGACTGTTTGTACTTTTCCCTTAGGTGCACCGGGATCACTACGTGGTCTGTGTCCTCCACCCTATTCACGGCCAACTCGAAGCTGAGAAGAGAAGAGAAGCGTGAGCGAGAAAGCCGGAGCTAGAGTGACAAGTGAAAACTTCACTCCTGGATATTTATGTCCTTGGCAGATAAAGCACTTCAAATTGGTGCTAAGGTTAATGCTTCACATCGCTGAAGTTACAAACACTGTCGGTCATAAAGTCCAAGCAAAATCTGAAATCTGTGACAGTACCTCGTATATTCAGAGTATAATTAGATATTGTTTTTGAAAGACTGTCAGACACACTCACACATAGATATCATCTCTCTCCATGATGCTGCTAAGGTTCTCGTTGGTGGCAAAGATCCGATGGAATCGGTGGTTGTAGATGTCAGTTACAATCATCTGGGGGTTAAAAACAACGTTATGCTCTTTGAGACTGAGGCTGATAATCTGATACATGAATGCATTTCTGAAAGTTATATAGCAAAGTCATTAAAAATATTCTCTAAACTTGTGCTTGTCTGTGTTGGAAACTTGCTTTACTAAAAACGTTATATATGCAACTCCAGTTTGAATTCATTGTCATCCTTTTTTTTTTGTATTTTCACTGAGCTTCCCTACCCCGGATTTTAAAAAGTATGAAGCTTTCCCTCAACTAGCTGCTGAACTTACATGTGCAGAGACAGTTTAAAAGAGAAAAAGCTATTTTTGGTCTTTGCTGCATGAAGGGATGTCAGCATTATGGTGTGATACTGCACAGAGCAGGGCTCTGACTGTGATGTTTCTACCTTCTCAGCAGGCACCCCAGACAGATTGGAGAGGGAGGTGCACAGGTCAGAGATGTAGCCCACCTTTGGCACTGTCAGCTTATACTGAAATGGAAACGCATCAGCCGTCAAACAGCAGCCTTCAAGTGGAATCATAGTGTCAGGGCAGCAGACTTCAGGCAGTGCGTATTACCTGTGTGGGTTTGGTTAGAGCGTCAAGTCGGACAAGGTAGACCTCCAGGGTCCGCTCCTTCTTCATGGGCAGGGGAAGGGTTAAGTAGCAGAAAGGGTCAAAAGTCACGGACACCTTGGAGCACACAGGACAAACAAGGGTGGACTTGAAAAGGCCGTGGAAGATGTCCACAATGATGGAGTCGTTCCTTTTGATGTGGTTCTCCCACGCTTCCTCCGCCACCACCTGAGATATAAAGCAACACATAGTCCACCTTTAATAAAACAGTGAAAACACATGGAGTGCAAAAGTGCTTTTGAGTGGTGGGAAGACTAGAAAAGCAAACAAACACAGTCCATTTACCATCTCTCGTCTTAAAGGGAACCATCTTTATGTAATCAGTTTTATTATCTCCAGACAGCTGCATACACATTAATATCTAGAGACAGTTTAACACATTGTTGCACGTTTTCCTTAAAGTGAAAGCGACATTAAGACCTCATCTCGTCTGCCCGAAATCTCACCTTATCAGGCCTGCCGTTAGCGTCTTTCAGTTGGATGTAAGGCTTCTTCCTGATGCGGTTCAAGTCCTCGTGAAGGCCATCCAGGAGAAAGGCCAGCAGCTCGTGAGAGTCCTGCTGTTGGTAGCCCGAAAACTGTGGGGCAAAGCGGCCCACCTGGGTCTGGAGGCGGAAAGCAAAAGGAAAAAAATAAAAGTCACAAATATATTGTAAAATAATGCCAAATACTTTAAATCGCTTATCCACAAACACCTATAAATTAAGCCCGTTGTTATTAACTCAAACTGCTGACATTAAAGGACGTATTCAGAAATAGTGAAATCTTTTAGATTATCCAGGATTTCAAACCGGTTATACACGAGTATGTTTTCCATTTTTGGTCTGCTCTTGTCTGACTTGCTCGTCTATATCTTTAGCGTTGTAATCATAGTATGCTTTGTATTCCAAGACATCTTTAACTTTCTGCTTGTGCCTTTTCAAGATAACAGCTACTGTGAGTGACACAAAGACCCTCTCTTCCTAAAAATCTATAAACACTGCACTATTTTGGTGGATCGCCTATTATACACAACTGTTCAAAGAATCTCTCCTGTTAAAAGTGTTTCCAGGTTAGTTACCTTGAAAGGCCTTGGAGTGACGTAGCTGAATTTACCCGACCACAGCTGCTTTTTAAGCTCGGCGTAGGCTTTGGCAATCTCCCCCTTCATGCCCAGCGGGTTGTCCTCATTCAGCTCCTCCATGTACTTGTCTTTGAGGAAGTAGTCCGTCAGAGGGGGGATATTGCTTAAACACTGAGGGAGAGGACACTTATCAGCCGAGGATAGATATAGGCTCTTTACCATTTTACACGTCTTGAGAAATTCCTCTAGACTCTAAGAATAAATCTTTGAAGACTTTGAAGGAATAAGGATAACTTTCCATGCTTTCATAGACTGTGTAGCAGGCATGCTGTTACCTGCACTGCAGAGTTCATGAAACAGGTGTTTCCCAGGTTGGAGAGTCCACAGAGGCCTGAGCGCTCACTCTGCCTGCTCTGGTCTGTGTAGTCATAGCTGTTGCTGTAGGGGTGGTAGGACGGCAGACTGTAGCTCGAATTCTTCACACTGTGCAATAAACAAACAGACGCACAAACAGGAAGGTTATACACGTTAGATGAAGTTTGTCAGACGGCTGAGGGCAAATAAAAGGTCATAAATGCCCTGTTGTATACAAACATATAACACTGCTACTTCTGCTTTAAGTCACATAACTGCATTTGATAAAGTTGTTAGTACATTCAGTGATACATTCAAATGCCACCAGGTAAGCAGCTCCCACCTTGTTTTCTCTTCAATCAAAAAAAAAAAAAACCTATTAACCCTTTAAAAATCAGACAATCTCAGGCTGTGAAAACAATCATTGAGAATTTAAAGCTCGGCCAAACACGGCAATCAGCAGACCTCTGCGAGGGCTCTATAGCAGTATTGGTTGTTTCCGGCTCCCACTGGTCAAGAGAAACAGCTGTGATGGCGGTGGAGGCAGTGGCCTCGCAGTTCAGCACGCGGTGGTCCACCCTCCTGCTGTCCAGCTCCACCGCCTCAGACCTCAGGCACCACCAGCAACACAGGAGCATGACATCTCAGCGCCGCCCCGGCCCGTGCCGGCCCACATGTCCAGACGAAACTGAACGACCAGCAGCGTGGATGGGGTTCGCTTCAGGTCAGGCGCATGCAGAGCCTGCTCTGTCGAGAAAGTCCAGCTCCAGGTTTCACTGTTACCTCAGATCAACCCAGTGCAGCTCCAGTGCCAATGTGGATGGAGACCGAACCAAGTACAGGCCTAAATTTGACTTCCAAGGTCCAGCACAGGCTACAGGCCAAACTACAGGACGCATAAACACAGGAAAACAAACACCTTCCTTTTTTTCCTAGAGCTTACTAAGCAGCTCCCCTCTTCTCTTCTCCCCTCTTCTTCTTTTTCGAGCTTGACCGCCTGTCATCTTGTTATCCTCTCTGCTTTAGATCCCTTCCCCCTGTCCTGTCCTGTCCTGTCCTGTCCTCTGGTCTTCTGCTCCTCCCTCTGGCCTGCCTGCTGCTCACTGCCGCTCTACGGCTACCAGCAGATATTTATAGCAGCATCAGCAGCAGCAAGGATGCTCAAGACTACTGCTATCCAAGCTAGAGGTGCACAGAAAGAGAGAGGGAGGGGAGGAGGGAGAGGCAGAGAGAAAAAGGGGGAGGGGCGGACAGTACATGGGGGAAGTGTGGGGGGGGGGGGGTTGACAGAGGAGAAATGAGATGGGGATGGAGGGAGCAGCTGATCCACTGCATCCAGCTGAGGCTGCAGTATTCACAGGACTGACTATCTGTTACTATCTCTCTCTCTTCTGCTCTCTCTCTTCAACAGATATAGGCGCAAATTAACATTTTCACTCATGCCGACACACCATTTATCCCTTTATCTACACTTCTGCGCACATAACAGTGCCTCCTCGCTCGTCCCGACACGCTACCACACAAGTTCTCGCTCTTGTTTTTGCCCCCCCCCCTGCATGTTATATTGGCAACGCTACTAAGTGAAGCACACACTTTGACACTCCCTCTTTTGTCCTCTTTAATATGCGATGCCTGTCCGTACGTGAGCTTTTAAAGGGGACGGTCTGATTAAATTACCTGAAGTATGGGCAGGTTTCATGGCAGGGCCCGGTTAGTGTGTGTGGAGGCAGGCGATGAGAGGAGCAAGAGAAGATGAAATGTATTCTGAAGGTCACTTAGACTGCAGAAAGTGCGCATCGCAATGAGCTCAGGGTAGAGGAGAGGTAAAGAGTCCAACAGAGAGAGAGAGAGAGAGAGAGAGAGAGAGAGAGAGAGAGAGAGAGAGAGAGAGAGAGAGACTGCCTGCCAGAATCAGGGGACACCGCCTAGTGGGACAGTGACACTTACTGCTGTTTCAGAGTATCGCTACTGATGCTAAATCCAACAGGCCAAATACCGCAAATTCAAAAAAGAGAAGTATTATGTAATGCAGGAACACTTCATATGAAAAAAAAAAAAAAAAAAAAAAAAGAGGCCCTATGCATAATTCAGAGAAAACGACAGCCCCAACACCACAGTGAATCAGGGACTGGAGAGCTGCTGGGAGTGAAGATCTAATTTCCTCAAGTCACCCACTCTGTGCTTTCCTCATAGGTGCAGACAAAAGATGCAGCTGCTATCAAACATAAAGCACAGCTGTGACAACCACACTCCTCAGTACAAGGCTATAGTAGAGAGGACAAAAAAGAACAGACTTTCTCTCTTCTAGCTTTTGAGTGTAGGTAGGAAGATCGACTCAGCTTGCTTCAACACCTTCTTTCTTTATCAATATTGATTTTTCAAGGTGGCCAAGCTTATTTTTATTATTTCTGCATTGCAAAAGTATAAAAAAAAATTTAAAAAAAATGTAATGCAGAGTGGCTTTTATCTCAGAAGCATTCAACACAGGACACAGTCGAGCATGCGGAAAATCACACAAACATGAGGTGAAAAGAGGGGACAGTATCGTCTGGTGGACAGCGGAGGCGACAGCTCCGCCCACAGTTGAGCAGTGCTCTCCAGCAGAGGCCTGTTGGAGACGCTGGGTACCACTTCCACTAAGGCTACATTGACAATTTATAAAAACAGAAGCTTAAAGTTGATGAGTTAAGTGGGCTGTGTTTCATTTTGGCACAGCAAGACATCTATATGGCTTGATGTTGATGATGACGATTAGAATGGGATTTGATAATCTCACCACTACAGAAATGTAGAAAAGGTTTATTGCCACTTGAGGTACAAGACTGAGCATCAACTTATCATCAGGTACTTGATCGGTTTAGAAAATGTTGTGCTAAGACGAGCGATGAAGATTGAAACCTGGTTCCATTAAGGACCCGCTTCAGCATTTTTGAAAACCTTAAAAATCAATAACGTTTAAGATGATCAATACTGCTATCAGGCCTCTTGGGTCCTGAAATGTTACACCCCGCGGCATGTCACATCTTTTTAGTCAGATCATTTGTGTAAAACCTACGTTGATTGGTATAGTAAAGTTTTTGAATAGAATTTAATTGCCAGTCAACAAGCACACCAGCATCAAATTACACAAAATGCAGCACGTTTGACCGTCTTTAGGTTGAAAGAACAACGTCAACTCTGGCCGCAGCTACAGGACAGTCATCCTCCTCCTCTACTCAAAGGAACACACACTTATAGCAAGTCCCATTAAAATAGTAGTGGGCAGGATAAAAGCCAGTAAGTAACTAAACTAAACTGAAGTAACAAAAACCTGGTGACTTCAGGCTACATTTTGATCCTTTGGTTCAGTAAAATGACAGGCAGAGGTAAATACAATGTCATCATGATGTGCTCAAATGTAATGTCAAGAAAAAGAAAATTAACTTTGTGGTGAAATATAATTGTTGGGAGGAGAAATTTGATTGGTTTTCTAAGCAGGTTCTGTAAAAATGTTATTTTCGTCTCTTCTTTCAACAAAAGAATAGAAAAGTATTCATGGAGGTATCGATAAAGACTCGGATTGTTGAGGAGAAACCCCAATCCTAGGTAAGACTATTACAGTAAGGGATCTGTTAAATACCTGAATAACTCTGGGAGGCCAAATTTAAAAGGCAACAACAAGCAAACATGTGTTATTATGTCCTTCTCTCTCAGCAAATGAAATGCAAAAGGGCAAAAACTTGAGTCAGGTTGAGCTTTTGTTCAAAAAGCCACATGTTGCTTAACCTGTTAGCTGACAGGATGGAAAAACTGACAGCACCAAGTTCCTTGTTTTGGACAAAGGAAATGGCTGTTTGGCAAATGAGCACATTGTCAACCCAGCTTTGACACTAACAAACAGACCGAGCCCAAAGTTTCTGTTTAAGTCTAGATTTTGGAATTGTTTCTCCCCAAACTCCAGGTGCATCACCTTTGGCAAATTTCAGTTTGGTTTTAGGGCTTTGCACACAATGGCATTCTGTTCTCTGTCTTCTCTGGATACTTGGTCACTTTTGTACTTCTTCATCTTAACCAAGCATTGTAAAATTCCCTTCGGTGATTAAGTAATAGGCGAGGATTCCTTAAATTGTACTATTTTAGTGTTTTAATTGAGCTATTCACAACTGTGAGGAGGTAATTTGCAAATTAATTAACCTATTTACTGTAATCATTATTCAGAGCTTCAATCAGTGAGCAAGAAAATCAGCTTTGAAACATTAACACATGCTGACTCAGGTACCCAGAGGCCCCCCGCCGGGCCATTAGTGAAGAGCACTGCTGTCACTGAAGAAAATTTCCAATGAGATCAATCCCTGGTAAGTCCCTTCACCCCTCCCTGCCATCAGCGCTTCCAGCTGAAAGTGCATCACCATGGGATAGCTTTAAGCCCCAAACCACAGCCAGAGATAGATCTGAGGAAAATAAAGATCAACAAACGTCTAACTGGGATTTTGTCCATTCATAATGACTGAATGTGTGTACATTTTGGACTTGTTTGATTACGACTTGATGAATTTCTGCAGAATATAATATGTATGGATTACAGTGTCAATTAGATCTGAGGCTATTTGAGGTGGTCTGTGCTGAGAGATTCTCCAGGCTCCATCTCTGGCTGTTGGCATCCACATCCACCCCTTCAACTAAATGAGCCCACTACTAAGCCTTACTTCCTGCTGTTGAAGCTGCTGTTATGATTGTTTGTGAGAGATGAAGGCGAGATCTTTGGCAAAGCAGAGAGATTGGAAGCACCAGATGACCTTCAAAAGATAAAGAATAGATCATGAGTTAGAGTAGAGAAAAATAAGGAGCCGTTCAAGAAAAAGGTGTGCAAGTGTCGATTAAATCAAACGGAGATGAATTCAAATTAAACAGAGGAACATGTCGGCAACAAAAGTCAAGCAGAAGAAGTAGTCTGAGGCAAAGTCATAGATTTGGAAGATGATGAGGTGCTGTAGTGAAAAGATGCAGAGTTAATTGCAGTAATAAAAAAAAAACTGGATGAAATACTGGAGGTATGGCACATGGGATCAAATAGAAAAGTCCAGTAGCAGTATTCTGCCTATAGGGCCTTTCAGATAGGACGCGGTGGACACTGCGCGCGACTGTCAAGCTAATTCATTGTCTATGTGTTAAGAGCGTATCTGCGCCCCACAGAGCTGAGCGCAGTGCAAGGTCTTGCTAGCCGTTCTTGCGCTATGCGCTTTAGTTTTAAAAAAAAATGTTCAACTTGGGCGCAGCGCTCCATGACCTCACCTCCAGTCCACCACCTAGAGGGGAAGAACAGATCACGACAAACAGTGTCCCACAGTTTGAGTAGCAGGTGTGTTTAAAGCAGCAGTAGAAATGTGTGTCGTGCTTGTGAAGCAGTCGTTATACAGCTGCAGCTAATGGACGAGTCCTAAACTCTCCCAAATCCTGTCGTGCCCTGGGGATTTCATAAACACTAACCCTTCTTCTTCTTTGCTGCTCGTCTCCTCCTCGGCAGATAGAGACAAACATACTGTGCATTAAAAAAGGAGCTACTTTCCCGGTGTGTGCTGTTGCTTTTCGCTCGTACGCACCTCCCCTTCTGCTCAGCCTCTTTCTCTGTGGCGAGCGCAGCGCACACCTCGTCCTATCTGAAAGGCCCTTGTGTGTGATCTTTTGTGTGGGATATAGGAGGGGGGAAGAGTGTGAAAAACGGCTTTCTTTATCTGTGGTTTAACTTTCTATATCCGTCCTACAGTCAACAAAGCAATATAAGCAAGGTGACGTTTCACTCACTTTGGTGCCGTGGAGCCTCGGGGCCATGAGCCATCCTCATTCTTCTGCTCTATTACGAGAACCTGTGGGAGACGACAGAAAAAAGAAAGGGGCTCCATCTGCTTCTGAAGGTTTTAGACATAGGAAACTTTAAAGTATTGGCGTCCTATACAACAAGTGAGTGATAAGAAGGATGCTATCTGCATTCTGAGAAATAAAGCAGTGTTCAGTTGCATTTATATTTATTGTTTTTCAGTGCCGAGTTTAATAAAAGACATAGTTTTAAACCAAATAATTGTTTGTTTAAATTTGACCAAAATGTCAGATTGTACTGCAAAAGAAATGAAATAAACAGGCAAGGAAAAAAGGTAAACATTCATAAATAAACAAAGGAAAAGATGGGTTTCACAATTCTGTAAATATCTGCCATTGCCCACCATGTTACTGTTTGAACATTTGTAAATGTATTTACTGCAGCCACAGTTTATCTAATGGGGAAATACAGGGAGCTGGATGGATGTTATCCACTGTGTCACTTAGTAGGGATTTGTACGAAGCTCAACAATCCTCTGGAACAGCTGCTGGTGAACAGGACGGCCCCGCGATCTGAAGCCTGCAGGCTCATTGTGGGCAGGTGCTGAACTCAAACTGGGTTTGCATAGAGACTGTGTCTGCTCTAATCGACTGCCAAGTGGATGCCAGGACATACTTGCACAGTTTAAGCGGCTTACAATGAGAGGTGGTGTGCCTCCCAAAGGCATCAGATACAGAGATGTTTTACGTTTTCAGCTGTGTTACAGGAACATTTCAGGGTACATTTTATAGAATTAGAAACCCCCAAAAAAGGTGATTTTCAAATAACTTACGTGTCTGTTTAAAGTGGTATGAGATAAGTTAGGCTGCCCTCTACAGGTCATGTTGACCTGTTCAATACAGATTCAAAGAAAGCAGAAAAAGAGGATTTTCAGAGGCTCCACTCCGCTGTGGCCCAGAAAGGCTGACTTGCAGAGAGAACAAATCAGGTCAAACTATCTGATAAGCGTGATTTAGACGAGAGCATATTATCCTAGGTGTCCACATAGCAAGCCATATTTGGACAGCTCCTGGTCGATTTTGTTTAATACTTTTATAGTTATGACAGACTCAAGAATAACAAAACTTAGCAGAGCTACACAAACTGTTTGCGCATTGTGACAACTTCAGGTTAACTACAAAGTCCTTACCTGTCCTTGGTAGAGGCCAGCGTCTTGAATGGTGCTGTCAGGTTTGTTGAGAGGCTCAAAGGTGTTGCTCATGTACCTGTTCCACAGCCTGGTCTCCTTCTCATCAGGGATGCTGAACAGCTTCCTCATGTCCTTCTCTATCATGTCTGCAGATAAGAAGGTTATGAACCACGTGAAATAATCAGCACATCACATGGCTAATAAAAAAGTTTACTAACACATGCTTACAGAAAGAAAGGAGACTAGCTAATGACTGAATTCATCTATTTTTTTGACTTGCCGTCTGTATAAGTGTGGGGATGTGGTGGCAGATTATTCTTGAGAGAAAATGCTGAAAATCTTTCTTAAAATTGTAAAGGGGTTAATAGAGGTGATAACTACCTTTGTTTGTAAATTACACAAGTATGACGTGATGACTGCACAGAACAGAACTATTAAATGTGTTCAAGAGTTAGTAAGAGAAAGGAATCGTCTTTGAGTGTTTCTAAGTGTACACATTCTCTGTAGGTATCAAAACAGATCACAAACATGGTCATAAATTCATTTTATGATTATTGTCTTCAAAGAAAGGCTCTTACAGTTTTATTCATCCCGAGTAATTTTTTTTATGAGTCAAAGTTGGCATAACAAAAGAAGAAGAGTGCGTTTAGATTATTTGATATTTAGACAAAAATTTGTGAAGAAGTCCAACCAATTTCAAGTCAACTTTGACCTCCTTGGCGCTCACTCAGTTTAAACAGCAGTAGGAAAACATTTTCCACTCTGGCTCAGGCCTACCGATTGTGTCAGCTTTACTGAAGCGTCTGGTGATCACATTGTCCATGTTGCTGTCTTCACAGAGCTTCAGCTCTGTCAGGTACACCTCCACCTTGCAGTGTTTTACAAACATACCCTGTTCTACCACCTGAAAAAGAAATCACAGTAAAAATGGTAAACTGTAGCACATAGTCAATGGATTAATCAATGGGGGGGGGGGGCTGGTGGCGCAGTGGTTAGCCCGCCCGGAGGACTATGGCCTCCAAATATGGGGCGTGTGGCTCAGGTTCAAATCCGACCTGTGGCTCCTTTGCCGCAAGTCATTCCCCACTCCCTCTCTCCCTGATCTCCGACTCTATCCACTGTCCTATCTCTCCAATAAACGCACAAAAAGGCCCCAAAAAATAAATCTTAAAAAGAATGAATGAATTGATGACAAATATATTGCATGATCCATGACCAATATATGATGAAAATATGCAGACTGCTATATTCATTTGAACACAGACTTGTGAATTATTAGCAGAAACTTTTACTGACACGCCTAACGTTCTTTCTCACGATGCAAAGGTGGCTTTAATGAGACAGATAATGGCATATTACAACAAACGGTAAATAGACTGAACTTTCTATCAGGCATTTGTAGTCTTCTGAGCCCTCAGAGCTTTACACTACATGCTACATTAATGCCATTAACACCCGATTTGAATACACTGATGGCAGAAGCTGCTGTGCCATGTTATCTCATCTCATTCACACATACTCACACACCCAATGGCTTGCCCGAGAAATGTTTAGGTTCAGGATCTAACTTCAAGGAGGACACTTCAACATGTGCACTGAAGCAGCATTAGATTGAACCATGAATGGAGACCCGATTTATCTCCTGCGCAATGTTTAACATCCCTCATGATGAAAAGAAATGAACTTCACTTCACAGCTATATAATTAACTATGTGTCATATTGGCTAACTGCACCAAGTCAGAGCGTGAAACATTGAAACATTGTGTAGCAACAAGAACATGATAATCCAAAACGCAAGACTCACTGGGCTCAAAACCAAAGGTAATCTCTGCTGTCAGTATAGCTGATGAAAATTCGAGTATTTTGCAATTTTAAAAGCTAAAAAATGTCAGGTACATTTTAGGGTTGTACTAGCTTTTGTTTCTCGTGGCGAACAAAGTACAGCCTGCTGGCTTTGCCACTCAAGCGGTGTCCTGATAGCAGCAGAGTCAAAGTGAAGTGCCTAAATTAGCAGCACCTCGTGGAAACAGCTGAGGGGTCCAAGCCTATTTATTTCACCGTTGAGCCCCTCCGACACACACACACGGCTATGCACACAGTACCAACTTCCCAAATCTCCAGCCATGCACTCACCGCTCAGAACTTCCCTACCCCATACCCAGACACGCAGGTGGGCGCACCCTACCCCTCAGCAGAACACCCATGTGTTTGTAAACTCAGCGCAAAAGCCCAACTCGTCGCCAAACTCTGACAGAATTTCTCAAATGAGAGCCGAGCCAAAAACCATATACCCCACCCCCCCTTCCTCCTCCTCCTCCTCCTCCTCCTCCCATACTGGTTATGCCTGTTGCACTCCTCTCAGAAGTTTCTACGCTGCTTCTCTGAGAGTGACCTCAGCCAGCATTCCTATACAAAAAAACAAGGACACCCAGCAACACTCCGCCGGTGTTGGGAATCAGATCAGAAGAGGACAACGGAAGGAAACATATCACCAAACCTGAGTCTTCAATCCTCTTAAATCCCTTTTAAAACTCTAAACCCACAAAAGGAACAAAGGCTTAAAAAAAATAGAAAAACAAATCATGAACCTCCTTCATGTTGTGTCTCTCAGATCGCTCCATGTAGCTTTTCAGTCATCCAGACCGTTGCCTGAAAATAGAAACCCTGCAGCCACCCGATATGTCCCACGACATACATGGCAAAATGGGAGGGTCATTGGAGGGGGGCAGAAAGAAAGAGAGAGAGAATGATAGAAGAACCTCTGCTAGCAGCCATGATGCCATGACTAGCGAGATTTGAAGTGGGGATTTGATACTTTGGGTCTTGTGTAATTGTAGCTGCCGTCATAAAAGTATTCCACTGCCTTATTAACAGTAAGCGCGCACACACAACAATTCAGTTGTAATGTCCACTTTACCAAAATGTATCTGATTGTTTGTTTTACCTTAAGATGAATTATCACATTTCTTGGCAGAAATTCATGAAATGCTGAAGGAAAAGAATATAAGACATCATCTAAACAAAACCCTTCCCTTTCTTTTAATCCTCATGCCTGTGTTTCTTTTTACATTTCACTTGTTATTCGAGTCAACAAATCTATGACGACTGAAGCATTTCTTGTGTTAACACAAAAGCTTACAGTACTCAATTTCAAAATCAATGCTGTCCCTACGCTCTCTACATTTATATTTAATTGTATATGTCTTTACTATTTCATGCTGATTAACACTGTCCACGTTTCTCCGCATTCCTGAAGTCAATTGGCTGTATTAGCACACGTTCTTCTCACTCTGCCAAGCCGCAGAAATAAAAGCTTCCAATAATCCACACTTCACAACAAAGCTACTTACAACAACCATCCTTTTATAGTAGCTTTGGTCATGCAAGTCAGCAGAATACTCTCAATCCGTTACATCCAATCATAGTATTTTGCTCATAACTGAATCCTTACCTTGCGCGCAATTGGCTCCTGACCCTCTGTCAATCCATACCAGCTGACAAGCTTATTCCAGCCCTCTGTTGGGACCAGGATGTAGTCCAGCTCATCGATGAGGTGTTCCTTGATTGCCAGCACATCCCCATCTAGAGGTACAGAAGGGGGTGAGAGAAAGGGTGAGAAACAAGCTGGCAGACAAGAGGGAGAGAAAGCACTTTGTGCACTAACTGTCTCACACTACACAAAGTAAAAAAAAAGGTATGCTGGAGAGCTTTCTGCCAACCAAACAAAAAGCTACTCTATGGAGTCAGTCAACAATATTGTTTTTGTTCCCCTTTTCCTCTGAACTCTTTGTTTCTACTTCCAGAATGAGACGCTTTTCTGACCAGGGGTCTGTGGTGTGGTTAAAGGCAACACGGTCTATCTAATCCTAGTGTGTGTTAAGATCTGAGGAGGTGAAATATCATATTTCATACATTTATTTTTTTTCATATTTGATTTATTGATTTGCTCAATTCAGTGTATGGTTTCAACACCATAATACACAACAAAAAATATTTTCTCATAATGCTGAAACACTGTTCATGAGCAAACAGGAGCAGGAAGAAGAAAACTTATAATACCTGCCCCGTTTTCCTAATAACACAAGAAACTGTTTAACACAATAAGACGGCTATAACCTGCTGTTTTCTCTTTCTCTTTCACAAAACAAAAAAATAGATAAAAAATGTAGAAACAATCAAATACAATCAGTTAGATTAACTCAACACATTCATGATTTCCCAGAACCTTTTTCTTTACACATTCTTCTACATTGAATGATACTTGAGCAGCATTTTTAAATGATTATCGAGAGAATTCCACAATTTAACTCCATTTACTGAGATACACGTTTGTTTTCTAGGCCTGAGGAGGTGAAATATCAACGAGTCTTACCTCTGAGAAGACCAGAGTTATCAACCGGTCCTGGGTAGACATTCTGGTCACCCATCTGGTACTTGTCCCAGCTGTCATATCCCACATATTTCTTCCACTGTTTGAACCAGTGACTGTCCACCAGGTACCTGCAGAGAAAGCAAGCAGCAACATGTCGGTCTGTTCAAGCATCATGACACACAACTTATCAGAAATGAAACCGTCCAAGGGTCATGGAGCAACAACAAAAAAAAAAAGGGTGTGAACCAAAAGTTTATATACGCAGGTGAATGCTAACGTTATCTTGCTGTCAGTACCCTCGACAAAATCAGATTTTTTAAGGGCTTATACGACACAGATTGGAGGTTGTTACAGCCGCACTCCAGTTCAGGTTGCTGCATGCTTTGCCAGCTGGCTCTGTGATTTTGACAGGTGCCTCTTTTTCCGACTCCGCCCTGCCGAAGTCGACGGATGAACCCACTGAAGGCTAGCCACTTAGCTACCAGCCAGCTAACCAGATCAGTCCCCTTGCGAAATGCGCTCTCATTGTGACATTATGACATCGGATGAAAGAGAGAGGCGCTAGTTTAGAGAATACAACATTCAAAATGAAAGAAATGCGGTGATTATAGTTGTTCTTTGACAGCTTGGTTGCTAACAGTAGCTCAAACACCGCTAGCCTGCCGAGCTGACACACATGAAGCTGACAGGTTCCCGTGAGCTAGCTCAGAGCTAAGTGTCAACACGGCCCCGTCACTTCGGCTTTCCGATCCCTAAAGGCGGTGACAGCCTCCGCGGAGCCCGCCGACGGCCACGCAGCGTTACGCGAAAAGGTTTCGGCTAGTGTCTCACCAGGTGTCTCCCTTTCTCAGCTGTGTTTTCAGCAGCGCCGCGACCTCTCCTCTCTGGGTATCCAGATCAGCCGCTCCTCCTTCCGCCATCTTTCCACAGACATCACCCCGCTGCATGGTGGGAAAGTTCGGGGCGTCACCGAGGCACGCAGAAAAGTGACGCTGTCTGTGTGAACCAATCATTTGGCTCGCCGACAGCACGAGCGAAAGCAAGACACCCAGTGGCAGAAAAAAAAGTCTAGAAAGATTGTTCAAAACTGCTCCATCATTGTGCCTGCGTACACTTATTCTTATTATATGATTATATTAGTCTATATTATATAACATTTCATTATATTACACTATATTGTTCATATTGCACTATATTTTATCTCATAATTATGACTTTATATCTCATAATTTCAATTTTTTATCTCATAATTATGACTTTATTATCTCATAATTTCAACTTTTTATCTCATAATTTCAATTTTTTATCTCATTATTATGACTTTATTATCTCATAATTTCAACTTTTTATCTCATAATTATGACTTTATTATCTCATAATTTCAACTTTTTATCTCATAATTTCAATTTTTTATCTCATTATTATGACTTTATGTCTCATTATTTTGACTTTATATCTCATTATTATGACTTTATTATCTCATTATTTTGACTTTTTATCTCATTATTTTGATTTTATATCTCATTATTATGACTTTATTTTCTCATTATTTTGACTTTTTATCTCATTATTTTGATTTTATATCTCATTATTATGACTTTATTTTCTCATTATTTTGACTTTATATCTCATAATTTAAACTTTTTATCTCATTATTTTGACTTTATATCTCATTATTTTGACTTTATATCTCATTATTATGACTTTATTATTTTGACTTTTTATCTCATTATTTTGACTTTATATCTCATTATTTTGACTTTATTTTCTCATTATTTTGACTTTATATCTCATAATTTCAACTTTTTATCTCATTATTATGACTTTATCTCATTATTTTGACTTGATTATCTCATAATTTTGACTTTTTATCTCATAATTATGACTTTATTATTTTCATTTTTATTTTTTAAACTGGCGGAAATGGGCTTCCATACAAGTGTGTAGAAATGGGGTTAAAAAAATCTACCCTGATCTAAATGAATGAATGAATGAATGAAAAAGTTTCATGACAACGTACCTGGTTGGAGTTTTCAGTGAAACACATATATTTGAAGTGTTCTGCTGAAAACAGCCTTGAAGTTGTTTGCATAGCATGTAGGCACATTATTCAAGGTTTTGCAAAGTCACCCCCCCCCTTTGTGCCCCATATCATTATTACTAATGAGTGTGTAGAGCAAAAGGTTGAAGGGTTACTCCACTGCTGCAAAAAATAAGATACAGTGAAACTGATATATAGAGTCGTTTAGTCACTAAAATTCCCATGATGCACCAATGTGTTTTCATCCAGACTTTATAAATCTCCCTCCAGAGAAATACAATTACAGTTAAACAGCATTGCTAAGCACTGGACGAATGAAAGTCAAATGAAATTTTCCATGTTTATTTAAAAACACATTCACAAGATTCAAATTTCTTTGTACAGTCATGTTTTTTTACAGTAGAAAATATGAAATTACAATGTATATGTCAGCTATTGTAGTGCTACAGCATTAGAATTTTACTGACAACTCATATCTTTTCATTACACAGATCATTGGCTAAAAAAAAATACATTGAAAGTCTTTGTATTTATTGACAATAAAATAAGGGAACATTTCCCCAATCAGTAATGAAGATATATGATACAATGGTGACTAAAAAAGTCATAGCACACTTTTAAATGGTAACAAATGTTAACCTGTTTACCCATTTTACTCCCAAACTGATATTTGCACAAAACATATCCTTACTAAGAAAAAAACAGGATGTAGCTTCAAACTTTTGTCTGAACCTGTGTCTGTCTCTTGAATGCCCTCATCCAGAGTTACATTATAAAAAGGTTACACTTTCTCAGAACAAAGCTGTTAAAAGGCTGACCATGATGGCCGATGTTTTTATTGTTTTTAAGGAAAATACCCTTTGTCCCTGAAAAAATACATGTGTGTTCCTTAAAACTTCTAAGTAATCCAAAAAGATGAACAATGAAGGGAGTTTAGATTTCTTGTCTTTATCCTCCTCTCATCATTTTACTGCCATCCCTGAAGTGCACGTCATGTGTGGCAAAACCCAACACACAGTAGGCCCTTTGTCTCCTGAATACCTCTTGTCTTTATTACAGATTATGTGACACTTTGTTGTTTCTTTGCCTGCTGTCTATGTGATGGGGCAAGTGTGCAGCAAGTCAACAATGGAAACCCCCCAGACAAAAACAAGTCTTTTCCATACACATCATCGCTGGAGCCTCATAAGTTGGAGTCTTTCTCTGACACAGGATAGTAGCCGTTTCTATTCAGGGGCTCTACTTCAGGAGTGAAGATGGCCAGTGACCTCTCCTGCTCCCTTTTGGTTTTGGGTAAGCTGTCAGAGGGTGTGGTGAGCAGCTGGATGCGCTGTGAAAAGATAAACCAGTGTCATTATCGATTATTGAATTGATTCCCTAATGGGATGTGTTCAAGTTGAGACCAGTTTCAGAAGGGTTTGGGACACAGCACAGTTTATTTAAGAGCAAAATGGGAGGACAAATCCTATGAATCAGTACTCAAAACAGCCTAAAGGCCACAATGCGCTCTGTTAGGATCAACATTTACCTCTCTGAGAGTCCCCTGGGTGGTGCTGAGTTTGTACAACATCCAAAGCGGGATGCAGATCATGGAGGAGAGAGCAAGCAGCCAGCCAATGACGTAGCCCCACCACGGGTACACATACTCATTATTATACTTCAGGGGAGTATATTTGATAAGGGAGAATGCAAATGTAGCCTGGAGAGACAGGAAGAATGAAATGACTTGTATTGTTAAGAATGAATCTGCTCAGCTGTTGTCATTGTCTGAAAGCTTTGACTCTTCTGAATTAGTTACTTACAATGCATGTCGCTGGGGTCAAAAACATCCAACAGTACTTGATATACGGTCCAGGTCGGTAACCAATCATGTCCTCAATGTTATCATAAAAGCGATCAGCACCTGGAAGGAAACAGGGGAGAAAAAACATTTCTCTGCACGATGTGTCTCAAAAAGCTGCAGGAATAGAAATGTCTCTCTATGATTCAGATTAAATCTGCAAAATGATGAAATATTTTGAATTTCCAAGTATAACATGTATCTCTCATCTTAGTGAATTAAGGTGTTTTATGTGAGAGGACTCTTACCATAGACCCATGCAATGCAGACAGTCTCAAAGATGGCCATGAAGAGAAGACACATGCCACTGGCAGCATAGTAATCAAAGAGCTGGAAGACATACATGCCCCCCTACAAAGAGAGAGAGCGATCAAAAGGACTTAGTCGTATTAAGACTTATCAACCTGCCTGATTCATGACCTGATCTACAAGCTGACAGTTAATTCAACTCAAATTAGTTCAATTTTGAGCTTTACGTGTTAAGAATCTACCCGCAACACAAAACCAGAGAGAAACCGAAAACAAAGAATTATAAAGAGCAAATAAAGCAAACTCCTTTGTTCGTGTGAAGATGTAAATAATAAGCTTAACTTTATCTACTCCATGTTGGAAAAACATTTTGAGTCTGTATGTGATAAACAAAACTTTGACTTAGTGTTGTGTAACTTGGAAGTTCTGGAAATAAATATATCCAGTGTAAGGAAATCTCTGAGGTGCATATATTCACAGATGTCAAAATGTCATTTGAATGCTAGGAACTCTACTTATTATAAATAACTACACATCTTACTGGGCCAGAACACATCTTTTATAAAAGAAATTCTGAAGCTCATCACAAGGGACTCCAGGTGTGGGTTGGGTTACTTGGGTGACTTTAGCTCAAGAGGGGTTGCATAGCAACACTTGAGACTCACCTGAAACATGTTGCATAAAACCTTTAAGTTAGTTGGACTTACAAAATGATGACTTGTCGACACCTCTGCAGAGCATTCATGTTTCCAGCTGTGAGGTGAAACTTTGTCAACCATGTTGGACTTTGCAAATGTTTTTACTTCACTAGAGCAAAGCATCTAAACTACCAGATGCAACCACCAAAAGAAAACCTGTCTTGACTGTATATGTGTAAATTCAGATAACAAATGATGTCTCTCTAAAGAAAATAAAATGAGGGGGAATCATCTTAGGTAATACATCTTAATACACTATCTAGTAAAAATGATGTCATCCAAGGGAAATGATATTGCAGGTGTGTGTGTGCATTTGTCTGTGTAGTTTGCATCTGTGTTCTTCTGACCCCTACCTCCATCAGCATGATGAGGCCCATCAAGAAAGAGACGAAGCTGACCCCTAACAGGAAGAGCTCCCTACGGTTTTTACGTCGGAACACAGCAGGGTACATGTCGACTATCGCCGTCACAAGGCTCTCGACGCACACAAACTGCGAAGAAGGAGGGAGGGCGGGGACGAGAAGTGAAGAGGAGGAGAGAGGTAACCAGAAAAAAATCATGAAAATCTGTCTCCAGACAAAACCAGGTTTCTTCAATGGGAAATGTAACGGTGAAAATTGTGTCAGTGTTAATAAACTTGACGTAAGGAGGGAATTTCTACCTGACTGTCCAACCCAAGGAAAACAATCATGATGAAGAAGAGCGCGGCCCACAGAGGAGAGAAAGGCATCATGGATACAGCACGGGGGTACGCTATGAAGGCCAGACCAGGACCTACAGCAACAAGTAAAACAATGTAAACTGGTCATAGAAATACTGAGCAGGGGGGTTCCATGAACATATTCTTCTATTTTTCTGTGACTGATCCTTCTGCTGAGATGAAGCCTCACCAGATTCTGCCACTTCTGAGATGGGAACATTCTGCTCGTAGGCCATGAAACCCAGGATGGAGAAGATTGCAAAGCCAGCCACAAAACTGGTGCCGCTGTTCAGACAGCACAGAGACAGACAATCCCTGCAAAAGAAAGCGCATGGAAGATATTAATATCAAGAGAATTTGCATTATTTTGAATGAAATTCAAACTGCTTATTTGTTCATTTTTAA